TGCTGGAGTTAACTTTGGGGACCTTCCTTTCTTGCGCTGTGGGTTATACAACCATACCCTATCGTCCTGTTGAAATCCCGTAGAATTAGCTCTGAGGTCGTAATGAGCTTTCATCCGGTCACTGGCTAGCGCAATCTTACTTCTAACGGCCTTATGAATGTCCAATAATCTTTCCTTCCTAGCGATTCTTTCGAACGACAGTCCAACGCTATCCTGTTCCATTTCTTCCCCAGATCGAGTACTTGGTCTTTGTCTAGCTGCGCAAATCTTACAACGTTGACACCATTTCTTAACATCTTCGCAATAATCCACCCAGTAAAAACGGTCTCTCAGCTTACTCAAGGTCTTGTTTACTCCAAGATGGGCTCCAGTTTTACCACCGTGAATTTCTTCCAATACCTGGGTGACTTTCTTCCTTGGTACCAGTAACTGAGTTGTTACTGTCCTGCCATCCGCACTTTCCCACGTGCGCTTTATCAATCCATTCTCAATCACCAGTGAATTCCACTGAGCCCAGAGAGCTTTGAAAACGAGCCCTCTGTCCGCAATATCCTGCCACGGTGGTCTCTCGCCGTTACCTTCCTTGAGCCGTAGTATTGCTCCGATGTCTGGATCTTCCATTTGATCTTTCCTCAACTGTATCGTCGTCCATTGTTCGTCAGTTCTCAGTTTAAAATTCCTTACTCTGATAGTGCTTTCGCGATGTTTCATTTTCTTGCCCAAAGTAGCTCGTCGTCGATCTGGCTCGTTGTCGATAATTTGTACCCGTCCTACACGGCACCCAACGGTTTTCTCTAGTTTCCCCAACACAGTCTTCTTGGTATCACCAGGTATCATCACAATTTTCGATGATCTTTCTTCCATATTTCCTGGTCTCTTCTCTTTAGATACAGAAAATTCCTCATTTCCGATTTTCAGGATGTTTCTACGGTGATCGAACGAAAAACCATGTTGACTGATCACATCCATACCCATGATAAAATCATCTTCAATGTCTGCCACTAAAACGCTATGCCGAAACTTCAAATTCCCTAACTCCAATTCCATGAAAGCCTCTCCCCGTACAACGGCCATTTCCCCCGTAACTGTACGTAAATACACTCTTCTTCTAAGAGGCATCATCTTCAATCCTTGCACGGTTAGTCCGCACCAACGATACCATAGCGCCTGTGTCCACAGTCATTCGAATTCTTCTACCATTGACCTTCCCGTTGATCACCAAACTGTCAGCGGTTTTCCTAGACTCTAACGGAAAACATCCTAGGGGCTCTGTTTTCTTCAGCCAATACTCGCTCATTAGTGTTGATTTCCTGGTGCTTATGTTCTCTCGATGGTAAACGGAATCGCATTTGGACGCGGCAATCCCGTTTGATGTGGCCATTCCTGCCACATCTATAGCAACTTATGTCCTGGGATCTTCCGATGTGCCGATGTTCTCTGGATGGTGAATGGAATCGCATTTGGATGCGACAATCTCGTTTGATGTGGCCATTCCTGCCGCATACATAGCACCTCATATCCTGGAATCTTCTTTGGTTCTCTGTCTGGGTGTTGTTGACTCTCTTGTTCACTAGTAATTCACATAGTTTATTAAACATCTCCTCCAAACGTATGTGAGAACTTCCGGGCTGTTCCTCGACCGTTACCGATCTTATCTTCGGTCTAGGGATGGCGCTAAAAGCAGCTTCAATTTCTAGCGCCCTGACCAGTGCTTCGCTGCTGGTAGAAAATCGGGATATTTGCAGCGCCCTCTGTAATTCGTTGTCCCTCAGTCCGCTGATAAAGCACTGAGCAGCGAGTTCCTCCCTAAATCCTTCCGGTGCTTCAGGATACGCTAGGTGTACCAGCCGACGTAAGTCTGCTTCAAATTCCTGCAGACTCTCTCCGGACCTCTGCAGGCGTGACTTGATCTGGGCCTGTAAAGTTGGCGTCGATGTTGGTCGCCATATCTTCTGTCCAGTGCAGCGACCAAAGTTTGGTATTCCTGCTGTTGGGCTGCAGGAATAGTTTGCAGGAGTTCCAGGGCAGGGCCACGCAGCGCGATGACAAGTGCCGCTGCTTTCTCCTGGTCAGTCCATCCATTGGCAGCAGCCGCTGCTTCAAACTGGCGGTGGTACATCGTCCATGTCGTTTGTCCATCGTAGGTCGGGGCTTTAAGGTTCGCAGTTCCCGGAACGCCAGGTGTCCTTACTTGTACCTTGGTCTTCTGTAGGTCCATCTCCAACTTTTCTATCTTCTGCTGAAGGCGCTCCTCCAGATCTTCTACGGCTTCTTGGAAGTGGTTCTGCTGTTCCTGGCAACGTTCTTCCAACATTGCTTGTTGCTGTTCCCCCAAGCTTTTCTGAAGTCGAATTTCTTGATTTTCTAAAGTTTTCTAAGACGGTCCTGATCTTCTTGTCTTTCTTTCTGGCGGCGCGTTTCTATATCTTCTAAAATTTCCCTCCATTCATTCTTCTGACGAATTTCTAAATTGCCTAAAATTTTCTCAAGCCGGTCCTGTTCTTCTTCTTTGTCTTGTTGTCGTTGAATTTTCAAATCTTGGAAAATTTTTTCAAGCCGGTCCTGTTCTTCCTGTTTCTCTTTCTTTTGACGGGCTTCTAAACCTTCTAACATTTTCTCTTGATTTTCCATAAGTATTTTCTGTAGATGGTCTTGTTCCTCTTCTTTCTCTTTTTCTAGTCGGGCTCGCTCTTCTTCTCGTTCTTTACGGAGTCTTTCTTGCTCTTCTGCTTTTTCTTTTCTCAGCCTCTCTTGTTCTTCTGCCTTCTCTCTTCTCATATTCTCCATAAAATCGCCCAATAATTTGCTTACTTCTTCCATTTTCTTCGCTTGTTCTCTTGTACCAACCATAAAAATACTCTAATTGGGTCTAAAAATCTTCCAATCCACTTAATTTCTTCTTAAAATCCTCTTGAATCGCACTTCCGACACCAATTGTTACGGATTCCGTGGGTCCACTAATTTAAACTCACAATAAAATACTTAACGAATTTATTTTTCTCACTTTATACACAATTACTAACTTATAACACACAACAAACTAACTATTTATAAGATTCCTTCACCAAATTGTCCGATTTTCAATTTCCACGCGGTATATTCAAATTTCAAAAACTTTCTCAGTTGTCGATGGCTCCGGCTTATATACTCTATTGACTGCTTCTCGAAATTCCCCAATTCTCGGAAAGCGTACTTCTTCATACCAGACAATTCTATTGTCTGATTCCCTTACTTCTCGACTTGACTAAAAGATGGCGCCTGAAAAAGTCTTTTAATTTCTGGCGGATACGTTGCGGTTGTGCAGGCAACCAGTAATACATTTTTAATTTCTGGCGGATGCGCCATTTTTCTTGACAATATTATCAAACGCTTTCCGAAAAAAAAGGAAATAAATATTGCAAGATTTTCAGAATTAGCATTTAAATTTTGTATTTAAAAGGAGCGTCACATAGATTGGTACCTAACAATAATAAAAAAAAACATTATAAGATGTAAATATTTGGAAAGTTTCCAATCAGATCGGGAATTTTTAAATATTTTAGTGTTTGATTTGGACAACTGAAGTTTTCGGCATTATCTGGTGGTATTAGAGCAATCAGAGCTAAAATCTCGTCCCGAAGCTCTAGGCCATTAATATCATGTTTGTCTATGTTCGTTAAATAGAGATGAAGATCCATACAATGCTTTGTTATTTCCTCTCGATTGATATTCCTGAGAACTGTGAAGTCGTATAAAAACGATAAATAGTCCGAGTGAGCTTTTAACAGGTTAAACCTTTCCTGGAGTGCCTCATGGATTGTATCCAGGACAACAAAGAAAAATTCGATTTTAAACTTTTCCTGTGGATCTAAAATTGACTGACACTGATTCATACAAAAACAGTCTAGTTTTTTTTTTCTGGGACGAGCTCTAATATCATTAGTAAAAACTGCTTCAATTTCCAGCTCTTCTGCCAGCTCTACAGCATCCACTAATATTTCTCTAAAATGGTTGTCAGTCCTTATTTTGACAAAATCGTCGTCGATAGCTTTTAGAGCTTTTGTGGACTCAGTGATGTCGAGTTTCTCATTCTGAAGCAGTTTACTAGTTGCATTTATATTGTTGGAAATTTCGTACCGAAAATGACCATTTTTCCAAAATTTAGTACTGATGTACCGAATTTGGTGAAAATGTACCGAATTCAGTACAATTGTACCGAAATGGCCGCCCTCAAATTTGGCCGCCTGGAGCAACTGCTCCTCTGCTCCACCCCTCAGGACGGCCCTGTGGATGGTCAAACCGTATTTTTATCATAACTAATTTTTTTTTAAATGGAACGAGGGTCGCTCATTAGCATATTTGAAAAAAGTATTTTTCTGCGAATAATTCCGTACCACATACTTGGTATTTCGAGTCAAATTGTCGTTACCTTTATTGTCGTGGCACTCTAGATTGATATTTAATATATTATTTTTAAGCAATTTCTGATTCATGTCATATACCAAATCTCCTTTTTTATCTGGATAAAACGTTAAGTTATAGTGTTGATTAAAAGAATTGGGAAGATACGCAACCTAATGGGCAAATTCGTGACAAGACTGATTTGATTTCTCCTTACGTCTCAAGTGCTATACGGTGGAGCCTCTAGTCGTTCTGCAACCAACATAAAACACTCATTTTCTCTAATTCGGTTAGCGAAGGCATATCGAAGACGGTGTGGAACTGAAAGCGGCAGTGTTGCCATATTAAAATGTGTAATATCTGTAATACGTTTGACGAAAATATCCTTGGATGAAAAATCCGCGTTTAGGTATTTATTCCTGTTAAACATAGAATAAACAACAAAAATCAAAATTCATTTATAGATACTGAATATTTCGTATGGTCGAAAAAAATCGTTTAGTTAGGTTAGGTTAGCGCATCTTCTTATTCCTTCAATCAACGGTTATAGGTATGAGTCACGTTTGAAAAAAAAAAAGGTGTAGGTAGTATTTAATAATAATGATTTATTCCATTTTTAGTTTCAATTCTCCACTAATGCAACTGTCCTATTTCAATCCTGGCATTTTACTACCGTCGGAGGCCTTATTGGTTCGATGATTGGAATATTTATTATGGCAGCCCTTTACGAAGGTCTCAAATATTATAGGTAAATCATAACAATTTAAGATTTTTTCTAACAAACACATATATCATAGTAACATTGTTTAGATAAGGTCTGCCCAGCGAGGGATGATTTCGACAGGCTACATTCCAAAAATTAACATCAATCAAAAGCAACTTTCTTTTGAATTAAGATGTCACACAATTCCCACTATCATTCTCTCGTTCGGCAGACTATAATAATTTTGTTGCTGAATAAATACTTAATAAAAAGCTTTATTAAAGTTAAATTATTTAATATAATAGTAAAAGTGACCTCTATTTGCAAGATTTTTTGTAAGATTTTATCTCTGTTTCTTTGCTAATTCCGATTTGGTTTTAACGATACCTCATCGATACATTTTCATTTATTTTGACTTTCTCTTATTTATCGGGTCAGTTCGAGGCTAGTAATAGTAGGTTAATAATAGTAACGTATGATCGAAAAAAATCGGCGTCCAGTTGGCTTGGAAATGAACGTCGATGACAACTCATAACCATCGATCATAACCATGGATCATAACCATGGCTGACGCCGTTTTTTTCGATCATACGGTATTTTATTATACAATATAGCAAATCGTTATTTAAGAATTATTTTCTTCAAAGACAGCCTGTGGTTATTTCGACACTTGCACTGTATGAAAATCTACAAAAGAAAATAGTTATTTTTTTGTAAATACCTCAGCGTTAATCTAACGGAGACCAACTTGTCAGCGGTGATTTACTAATAAACAAATTTACCTAATGGACAAAAAAAAACGTTTCAGGAAGTATTAAGTAAGCCTCCCGTCGTCGAAAGCAAAAAAAACAAAGAACAGAGAAAAAAATGTATTTTATATAAAAATTATTATATTTAAGAATTGTTGTCTACAACTAATTTATATTTACCAAATATAGCAACAAAATAGTGGTAAAAGACTACCAATTCTCCAGGATACACAAAAACACTTTATTTCAAACTGCTGCTTTTGAAGTGCATTATCAGTAGATGATTAAAACTTAAAATAGTCGTTAAACTTGAAAAAAACTGAATGGTACTTGAAAAATTAATAAACTTTTTCATACAAAATAAATATCTTTTACATTTTTGTTTATTATGATTACTAAGTTTATAATATTACTAAGGTAAAGTTATAATATTCTTTGGTAATGTAGAAATATCATATATTATCAAAAACATAGAATGTAAAAAAATACCAAGTCTCGCAGCACATGCCACACAACTCTTCCAGGATAAAAAGTTATGAGATCTCATGTAAAACCAAGTCACTTTATTTTATTTAGTGTCTCTTTAAGCACATATTCAACAATTTTGTTATAAATTGTTAGTATCAATATTAGACATCTTTATTTCTGGAATAATTATAATGACTTGGCAATTGCATAGAACCATAATTATAAAAGAATAATCTACCATTTCGATTACTAAACTAAATAAAATAAACTGATTTGGTTTTACATGAGATTTTACAACTTTTTATAGTGGAAGAATTGTGTTGTGATACTTGGCATTTTTTTACATTCTATGTTTTTGATGGGATCTCATTTCTTTTTGTAGGTTACCCTCCTATTTTTTTCTCTGGTAATATATCATTCAAAATAATATTAAAGAAGTTTGACTAGCAATAATTCATAAATTTTAAATTATTGTATAAAGTCAGATAATATCGAGTGGATTAATTCTAGTTTTCTAACGACTTGTGTTTCCGACTTTCGTTAATACAATTTTCGTTATTACAAATTTCATCTTTAAAAATATTCAATTTATGATTTTACTAATGCTTATTCAAAATCATGATTTTGTCAATTTTACACTTATTTTATTTTTTATCTCAAAAACTATAAGAGATACATATAGGTTAGTAATAGAAAAATTATGAGATATGAAAGTAGATTACAGTTGAGGGTTGGAACCTTTGGTGTTACAAAGCAAAATAAAAATACTAAATCACCACAATACACCAAAACACTTTTACTTTTACACTGGACGCGCGTTTCGCTAACCATGTTAGCATCATCAGCAGATGATTATAAACTAAAGTACAATCTACAAGTTTATATACTCGCTCAGTGGGCACCGAGTGGGCGTGGCAAAATCTAGCCAACCGAGTCAGACCCCACTGAGCGTAACAGTTAGATTTCCGCCACTAGAGTAGTAGGAACAAAGAACTTGAAGGAATTGGACCGTTGTTCCTGTTCATACTATCTTTACATTTATTAATTCTGATGCTTTCATATGCATCTAATTGCCTGTAATTTGAGACTTGTTTAATTAATTTTAAATTATTAAGATCTATACAATGTTCTTTATCAACAATATGTTCGGCAACGCGAGATTTATCCGGTCTACCATATCTTATGTGAGCTAAATGTTCTTTAAATCTAGTTAATATCGATCTTCTGGTTTGCCCAACATATTTCTGATTACAATCTTTACGAGAAATTTCATAAATACCCGACCTTTCCAGTGGAGGTGTTTTATCCTTTGGATTACCTAATAATTGTTGTAATTTATTATTAGCACTATACACAAGTTTATAATTGACATTCTTAAAAATTCCTTTTAGACCACGGGATAACTCTCTATCAAACGGTATCGAAAAATATTTAGACGTATCTTTCTCCACTTGAAAAGTCGAATTTTCAGAAATCATTAACCTATACCTACGTTTTCTAATTAACTTATCAACTAGGGAAGGAGAATATCCATTACACTCAGCTACATTCCTAATGTAATCTCTTTCTATTTCATATCTTTCGTTGGAAAGTGGGAAACTAAGTAATCTATGAACTAAGAAATAGAAACTAGCCATTTTATGTTCAACACTATGATGTGATTCATTAGGAATATATCTGCGTGTGGTCGTATTTTCCTATAGATATCAAATTCCAGGCAATTATTAGTATTTCTAATAACTAATACATCTAGAAATGGTAATCTGTCGTTGTTCTCAATTTTATGCGTAAATTTAATGGAAGGAAAACGATTATTTAACTTAGAAATAAAATTATCTATGGTGTCTGAATGTGTGTGTCAAAAACAGCAAAAATATCATCCACATACCTAAACCATACTCTTGGAAAATACTCAAAACTGATTTCTAGCCTCCACTTCAAACCTGCTCATGAATAAATTAGCCAAAAATGGAGACAATGGATTACCCATTGCTGTACCTTCCCGCTGTTCAAAAAAGTTGTTATTAAATTGAAAACAATTTTGTTTCATACATAACGATGTAAGCTCAATATATTCAATCACAGTTTTGTTGTCGAGACCATTTGCGTTCAGTAATTCCTTCAAGTAGCCTAAAGTATGTGGAATTGGAACACTTGGGAACAACGAATATACATCAAAGGAGACCAAAATTTCACCTTCATGCAATGTTATATCTTTAATTTTGTTAACGAATTCAATATTATTTTTAACTGAGAAAGAAGGTTTATGATCACAGTTGAGGGTTGGAACCTTTGGTGTTACACAGCAAAATAAAAATACTAAATCACCACAATACACCAAAACACTTTTACTTTTACACTGGACGCGCGTTTCGCTAACCATGTTAGCATCATCAGCAGATGATTATAAACTAAAGTACAATCTACAATTTGAGCGTTTATATACTCGCCCAGTGGGCACCGAGTGGGCGTGGCAAAATCTAGCCAACCGGGTCAGAACCCACTGAGCGTAACAGTTAGATTTCCGCCACTAGAGTAGTAGGAACAAAGAACTTGAAGGAATTGGACTGTTGTCTCTTGAAGGAATTGGACCGATAGTAACAAATAATAATAACGCTGATAATATTTTAGATAGATGGAACAGGTGCCTTTATATAAAAATTCAAATTTTCAAAACAGTCTTATCAACAGTTCTTCTATAAGTATCGCCGCAAAACCAGTTACCTGTAGCGGATAGACAGCTAACTTTTAATCCATAAGGATATTCGAGATTTTTCATTTTTTCCTTCCATTTTAAGCTTAATGCTACCTAAAATTTAAAATTTGAAGTTTGTAACACTTTTACCTTTAAATTTTGACGACGGTGTTTTTGAATCACTGTTGAAGTTAAAGAAATTTGATTAGCAATAATTCATAATTCTTGAATTATTGTTGATACAAATATGATACACTTACTAGAATTATTGTTAAATTAATACAAATAAAATCAGACGAGATCAATAAAATTCGATTAATTTTAGGTTTCTACCTTTTTTCTCGACTGGAAAGTCAGTAACCGGCAGCGGCTAGACAGCTAACTTCTAATCCATAGGGATATTTCGCGATTTTTAATTTTTTCCTTTGGCTATAAGCTTAAAGCTACTTAAAATTCAAAATTTGAAGTTTGTGACATATCTGGAAGGGTCTTGAATTAATATGTACCTAGTAAGTGCATTTTGATGATCTGTCAGTAGATGTACCTACTTAGTCAGTGTCGAAATTAAAGAAAGAATCGATTTGACAGATACACCGAATCCTAAACATGACAGAAAATACAACCCATTTTTGAATTAACTTAAGTAGGCAGCTGTCACAATCATACCTTCTCTATAGTTGGATATAGATTATAATTATATAGTGTTCTCAGAACAATATTATTAATTGTAAGTATTGCTAATAGACTATAAAAGTTTGTTTGTGGTATTGTCTTATCTATACAAGTAAATAATGAGTAATTTGATTAAAATCTACATTTATAATCGTATTTGTTTTTTTATAAAGTAAGCAAAAATCGAAATACTCGAAAATTGTGTGTGTGATTGAATTCCATAATATACACATTTTAGAGCCAAAACACACGAGTCGGTTGATGGGCGTGGCTACGCAGCGGCTGTGCAGCCGGCGTCGGATCTTTAATATACAATACTCACGGATACAAAACTCACGATCAAAATCTATTACGATCAAAGTCATAACATAAATCATCGTATCATAAACGGCCTCGTATGTTTTAACTCAAGGCGCAACCATGATACAAAGAATACAAGGTATGATATTGCGCAGGTTGGTCACTACGTCACAGGTGATAAACGGCACCATTGGTCGATAAGCTCTGCGCGCCAATTTCAAATTGTCAAACAGATTGTGTCATCTGTGAAATTAGATTGTGTCAAAATGTGAAAATAATTTTTCAAATGTCAAGCTCGATGATTTGACATAACTTTTGGGGTTATGTCCTAATTCTTCCCTACTTTAGGTCTTTTTTTATTAGTGGCAATTGTACAATACGGATATTTTTTTGTATGGCGTATGACGTCACAGGTGGTATGCGCAAACTTAACGAAATTGGAGCCGCTATCGATCATACCTTGTTTTCTTTGTACCATGAGGCGCAACTATACAAAACAGCATTGTTTATATAAGAAAGTATTAATTCCTCTGTTGAAAGGGTGTTAATCACTGCGACCTTAAAGACCCCCCTTTCTTCAGTTATAACTCATCATACAGTCTATAACCGTTGATTGAAAGAAATGGGAAGATACGCAATTTAATAGGCAAATTCGTGACATGGGTGATTTGATTTTTCCTTACGTCTCAAGTGCTGTATGATGACCCCAATCGTTCTGCGGCCAACGCATAAAACACTTATTTTCTTTAATTCGGCCAGCGAAGGCATATCGAAGATGGTGCGGAACTGAAAGCGACAGTGTTGCCATATTAAAATGTGTAATATTGGTAATACGTTTGACGAAAATATCTTTGGAGGTACTGAATATTTTGTATGACGAAAAAAGTCGTTTAGTTGGCTTGGAAATGACGAATATTGCAATTTACCAAAATATTTTACATATGAAATAACAGCGATCTTCGTTTCCAAGCCAACTCAGCCGCCGTTCTTTGTTTAATCATATAATATATTAAATTGTTTAATGGTCGAAAATACATACTGTACACAGCATCTGTAAATCTACTGATGAATCCGTAGTTCCGGCAACCTATCACTCTGTTGACTGAAAGCAGAACCTGCAGAACTACGGTACGGTATTCTTTATCCCCTACGCTGTAAACGACGCAGCGGCGCGGTGCAGAGCTAAACCAGCTAAACTAAATCTCGGACAGGCTAACGGTAACGGCAGCTACATCTCAGACATGTTCCGTGCCACGAAATCTCTCATAAGGTTGCGCATCTTCTTATTTCTTCAATCAACGCTATAACTCATCATACATGGGGATCTTCCTGTTGTAGGGGGGAGGGGTTATTTCCCATCCTCCTCTGACAACATATGTTCATCCTTCAAGAACCTGATACCGGTATTGTCCCGAATCTATAATAGAGGATATCGTCGTCAATTTTTGATATTTTTAGGGAGAGCGGTTTAAAGCTTCTTACTACTTCTATCTCAATACCAACCAAAATATATTGTAGTACTTCAATACTACAACTAATCAATACATTTTGGTTACTATTGAAAAAAAAGTCGCAAAAAACTTTAAACCGCTCTCCTGAAAAGTATCAAAAAATGAATTACGCCACTTCACGATATTGACGACGTTATATCTCTTTTTTTCTATTGCCTCCTTCAATTTGAAGTTAATTCCTTGTGTGAGGACCTGACCATGACCCTCCTCCCTTGAGATGATGACTCGCCAACTCGATGTCCTTACATTGTAGTTCTGGCAAAGCTGGTTACTTCCCTGCTTGCCTCCCGGTGTTGGACGCCATCTTGGCTTTTTTTCTCCATGCCGAGGATATATTTCTTACTAAACCACATTAAAATATTTTAACATTGAACGTTTCCATAGTTCAGTTAATCATCAAAATAATTTTTTATTCCTGTATTAATGAGTATATAATTAGCTAAATGCATCTAATTAAAGTATTATGGAGTAATATATTATTAGTGATTATTTTTGTTCCATTAAATTACTGTTTTTAATTTTAGGGAATATTTATTTTGGAAGACGTACAACGCCCTACAGTATAGGTCAGTTTCATTACCTGATAAAGGGGCAGTTTCAGACGAACCGCAGATTGTGCAGTAAGTTTTTTTTCAAACATTTTTTACTATATTTAATACTTATTTAAAATAGATTTGCATTTTTTATTACTCCTCGGAAATAGCGACTACTGTTTTTTAAACATTACCTAGTATTTTAAACCACTTTTACATGGTTAAAAAGTGTACTTTTAAAATTTAAGCCAATTTATAAGTTATAAATATAGGGAACTGCTATTACAAACGAATTGACTTAATATTCAAAGAGCTTAAGACTGGATAAGTATATACCATATGATAAAAAAAGCGATGTCAAAGTGTCTTGTGAAGTGAAAATGGCAATTTCTATCGGGTTATTGTTTAAAAATTGGCATAAAAATTTGTCAAAGATTAATATTTAATTTGGAAAAAAGTAAAACATTTACAGACTCAGGCCTATTTCAAAACAACAATTTTTACTGAATCGATTGACTTTTTATGATATTTAAATATGTAATTATTAATTTTTTATTTTTAACAAATGTTTATGTCAATTTTTGTTAAACTGACTTTTTGTCATCTGATGGCGATGACAACGTCAGTTTATTAAAAATTCTTGTCGACCCGACAGAAATTATTATCGGTTGCCATTTCAAAGGCCACTATGACTCCGTTTTTTATCATATGGCATTGTAAATCGTGTCCCAGAACATAAGCTATTATTATTCTTATCATTATTATGGACATGGCGTTTTAAAAAATAGCCTGATAGCTTTGATATTCATAATGAGTATCTTTTTCTGTTTTTGAAATAATAAGAAATTGTCATTCTTTGCTTTTCTATCTTAATTTTGATGCACGGTGTTGCACAAGTTCGAAAATGTTTCACAAAGTTGACCTATTTATGACGGCTAAAAATAAGTAAAGATAAAATTAAAAGTACATTAGGAAAGCAGATAGATATTTCATTTTATAAGAAAACAAAACTATATAGTTTTATGTGCATAGTTTTTAACTGGCATTAAATAAATATTATATATATGTATTCTGTAAATTAGTACGAATACATAACGTCCTAATGATTCCAAACCCACATCAAACTCAAATTTGTCTCTTATTTTGGACAAAATGCCTTCTGATAAGTCACTCCTCGAATATTCTATTTAAAGGAACCGAATGCAAAGCGCGTGCCTATGATGAATCGCTACAAAAAAGCTGTGCCACAGATTAAGTATTATTTCAATTGGGAATATATTTTTTACAAAAGGCAACAATGTGTTCTAGAAAAAAAAAACGAATTCTGACAACGCCATAGCTCTATTAAAAGTCCGATGTCACGGCGCAGTTATCAGCAAGATGAAATAAGTGCCACGACATCTGTATAATACTTAAACTGTGTCTGTAGGAAAAACTTCCGGTGTGTATTAATCCGTCTTAAGCCGGGACCGCATTAGGCCACACGCCACGCCACGCCATGCCATCCCACGTCATGAAGGTCTGTGCGTATATTTTTCCATTTAATTACATGTATTGCGTACACACTAGGCAACACGCCACCCCACGTCACGCCATCCCACGCTACCACACGTGGGCCGACGTGGGATAGCGTGGCTTTTGGCCTAATGGGGTCCCGGCATTAATCGGACGCTCGTAGAATAAAATCCCGTTTACACATACCATATGTCGGTAGTCATTTTGTTTGGAATCTGCGAATCTGCGTGCTCAAAGAAGACCTTGTTTTTAGATCTGACAGCAGAAATAGGCGTTAACTTAGAAAACTTTTTTTTTATACGGAATATGTGCTTACTGCATTATGGATCGATTTTATTTTTTCAATCATAACTCTAGATAAATGCGAATTTTCAAATTAATAACCATTTTCGCGTCAAATAAATTGTAGTACTAATAACTAAGTACTACAACTAATCCTACCTATACATTCTATAGTAAATGCAATTGTTATTTCTTTTTGCAGACCAGGAATTTTGCCTATTTCAAAAAGGTACTCATATGCAAAGTAGGTACATTTGAATAGTAGTGGTAGTAAGTGGTCCATATACCTGGTTTATTTTTTATGATTATTGTATATTAAACGATTCATATTATGTAAATTTTTAATTATTTTTTTCTGGTGAACCGAAATAAAACTAATCTAACCAATGACCTCTAAATAAAGTAGACCTGGCATTTCATTGATAAAAAGAAAAAGATCAGAATCAGACATTCGTTTCTTGTTCTATGCGAGTGGGAACAAGACGGGCTGATCGCAGTCATGAAGGATTCCCGAGAGAATGGCAACGCTGTTCAGAGATCTCGAGAATGTGTGCCAGTGGCGTAGTTACTTTGATTGTAATATATAATTTAATATTATATTCTCGTAAATATGATTTTTAGATACGATATATCGTTGTGCTAGATGGCTCTTCAAATTTTGAAAATGACTACTTCTATACTCCAATCACTTCTATACGAAAATAACTAATTGAAATTATGATATGCACATTTCCATAGTAATGTCTGTAAATTGCTCCAGTAGTAATATAATCCATCAAGCGTTCAATGAATACGAGCCGAAGACGACTTTTATAAAACATTTATGTGAATTAATGGTATTATTTTGATTGAAGCAACGGTGAAAAATGAGAATATTTTCAAATTCAAATTTCTTTATTAGACCCCATTAAGTTTTACAGAATAATATTAGTATTAATAAATGTGTGTCTAAAGGGATCGCACCGCGATTAAAAAACCGATACAATAGCACAAAGTGCCAGAGTGGTGCGACCCCAAATACAAAATAGAAATAAATTAAATTACAAAAATAAACAGAATTAAAAAAATTCAAATTATATAAAAAAAGTGAAAATATAATTTTATCAGGGATGAGCGGAGATAAGCAGAGAGGCATAATGAAACAGTGTAAAAACCGGAACAGCAACCAATGACGGGCATATCAGTAAGTCAAGATCTCACAAATCAGTCGAAGAAATTATAATATTTACGAATTTAGTAAATTATTTTTAATTTGTTTTTTATAATCTGTAAAGGATTGAAATTAAAGTTATTAGAAATATTATTCCACAAATGTGGCGCTATGAAACTGAAAGATTTTTGGAAGTTAGCGTGTTCGGTATAGTGTTCGGTGTTGAGGAATTTTAAAATAATGCACTTGTCTAGTCGAATGATCATGGTCAACGTAGTGAAACAATGAGAACAAATAGGGAGGCTGCTCTGTAGTTAAAATTCGATAAATGAATGCCATTAAATGAAACTGTCGTCTGTTAGTCATGGATAAAATAGATAAATTTTTAAGATGTGGCGTTATATGATCTCTAAAAGGAATGTTAAAAGAAAACCGTAGACACGAATTTTGAAGTATTTGGATTTTTCTAGAGAATCTAGCGTTTATGGATGTACCATAAACAACATCGCCATAATCAAATAAAGATAAAATAAGTGTGTCACATAATTGATACTTAGTCTTTGATGGTATATATTTCTTAAGAGACGAAAAATTCTTCAACCGTATATAAGCAGCCTTTAATTTAGTAGTTATATGTGCCTGAAATGAAAGCTTCGAATCAAAATAAACTCCAAGATTTTTAGTCTCTGTAACAATGGGTATCGCAACATTATCTATATGGATATTCATGTTACCAGCCGTATTTGTAATTTTGTTTATATCACTACCAAATACTATAACACAAGATTTACCGGCATTTAATTTCAAATTATGATCTAGAGCATATTTATTAATTTTATTAAGATCGTCGTTAAAATTTAACTGAAATTGTGCCAAATTATTAGTATCTATTCTGCAATAAATTTGAGAATCATCCGCATATTGCTGCAATTTAGAAAACTGTAATTCCTTATTTTAAAACTGTCGTGACAAATTACAATTTAATATTAGGTATAAAAATATTACTATTTATAACAACAATAATAAAGATCTTTGTTAAACTAAAGTCAATTTCTAAAATATTTACTTATTTCTGGATCAGTTTCTTCGCGGATAATCGGGACCTTGTACTGAATAAATAATTAACTATTCAATAAAACATATCAAACAAAGACGCATTCATCTTTTAAACTATATATTTTTTTTAGTCTTAATAAACAAAACAAAAAATACATTCCTCTATTACAAAAATTATACTATCAAAAAGAAACGGCGTCAAAAATGACAATCGGTGATAATTTTGGCAAGGTGATATGTCATGACCCCTACTCTTGTTTATTTTTTAATGATACTTACTGGCAGTAGTACGCCTTAAGGTTGTATTTGATTTTTAAATGGTGTAATATAAATTCGAAATTTTTTTTTTTGGATATCGATTTGTGTTTCTGGAAACGTTCTATCCTTTTATAATTTTTCTATAATCAGTATTAGTTTTTGACAAGTTTTATGTCAATTTTTAATAAATGATATCTAGAAATAGACCTCGCCAAAATTATATTCGATTGGTATTCCCAGCAGTCTTTGACGCCGTTTTTTTTCGATCATACGGTTATTTAGTATGTAATATCCATTATATAAATCTATTTTGATTTTACACTTAAAAAATCATCTTTAATAACTAAAAATCCTAATAACAATCGGTATGATCGAAAAAAAAGGCGTCCAGTTGGCTTAGAAATGAACATCGATGACATTCCCCATATACGGCGTCAAAAATGACAATCGGTTATAATTTTGGCAAGGTGATATGTCATGACCCCTACTCTTGTTTATTTTTTAATGACACTTACTGGCAGTAGTACGCCTTAAGGTTGTATTTGATTTTTAAATGGTGTAATATAAATTCGAAAATTTTTTTTTTGGATGTCGATTTGTGTTTCTGAAAACGTTCTATCCTTTTATAATTTTCTATAATCAGTATTAGTTTTTGACAAGTTTTATGTCAATTTTTAATAAATGACATCTAGAAATAGACCTCGCCAAAATTATATTCGATTGGTATTCCCAGAAGTCTTTGACTCCGTTTTTTTTCGATCATACGGTATTTAGTATGTAATATCCATTATATAAATCTATTTTGATTTTACACTTAAAAAATCATCTTTAATAACTAAAAATCCTAATAACAATCGGTATCATCGAAAAAAAGGCGTCCAGTTGGCTTAGAAATGAACATCGATGACATTCCCCATATACGGCGTCAAAAATGACAATCGGTGATAATTTTGGCAAGGTGATATGTCATGACCCCTACTCTTGTTTATTTTTTAATGACACTTACTGGCAGTAGTACGCCTTAAGGTTGTATTTGATTTTTAAATGGTGTAATATAAATTCGAAATTTTTTTTTTGGATGTCGATTTGTGTTTCTGGAAACGTTCTATCCTTTTATAATTTTCTATAATCAGTATTAGTTTTTGACAAGTTTTATGTCAATTTTTAATAAATGATATCTAAAAATAGACCTCGCCAAAATTATATTCGATTGGTATTCCCAGCAGTCTTTGACGCCGTTTTTTTTCGATCATACGGTTATTTAGTATGTAATATCCATTATATAAATCTATTTTGATTTTACACTTAAAAAATCATCTTTAATAACTAAAAATCCTAATAACAATCGGTATGATCGAAAAAAAGGCGTCCAGTTGGCTTAGAAATGAACATCGATGACATTCCCATATACGGCGTCAAAAATGACAATCGGTTATAATTTTGGCAAGGTGATATGTCATGACCCCGCTCTTGTTTATTTTTAATGACACTTACTGGCAGTAGTACGCCTTAAGGTTGTATTTGATTTTTAAATGGTGTAATATAAATTCGAAAATTTTTTTTTTTGGATGTCGATTTGTGTTTCTGAAAACGTTCTATCCTTTTATAATTTTCTATAATCAGTATTAGTTTTTGACAAGTTTTATGTCAATTTTTAATAAATGACATCTAGAAATAGACCTCGCCAAAATTATATTCGATTGGTATTCCCAGAAGTCTTTGACTCCGTTTTTTTCGATCATACGGTATTTAGTATGTAATATCCATTATATAAATCTATTTTGATTTTACACTTAAAAATCATCTTTAATAACTAAAAATCCTAATAACAATCGGTATCATCGAAAAAAGGCGTCCAGTTGGCTTAGAAATGAACATCGATGACATTCCCCATATACGGCGTCAAAAATGACAATCGGTGATAATTTTGGCAAGGTGATATGTCATGACCCCTACTCTTGTTTTTTTTAATGACACTTACTGGCAGTAGTACGCCTTAAGGTTGTATTTGATTTTTAAATGGTGTAATATAAATTCGAAATTTTTTTTTTGGATGTCGATTTGTGTTTCTGGAAACGTTCTATCCTTTTATAATTTTCTATAATCAGTATTAGTTTTTGACAAGTTTTATGTCAATTTTTAAGAAATGACATCTAGAAATAGACCTCGCCAAAATTATATTCGATTGGTATTCCCAGAAGTCTTTGACTTCGTTTTTTTTCGATCATACGGTATTTAGTATGTAATATCCATTATATAAATCTATTTTGATTTTACACTTAAAAAATCATCTTTAATAACTAAAAATCCTAATAACAATCGGTATGATCGAAAAAAAGGCGTCCAGTTGGCTTAGAAATGAACATCGATGACATTCCCCATATACGCCGTTTTTTTTTCATCATATGGTATATCACTATTGAACATTTTTCGTAATTGTGAAACACAACACATTGACAACGCCGTAAAGCAATTTATGAACGAATTCGAACTGGATGTTTTGTTGGCTGCCTGAATTTAGGAGTAAACATAGTAAAATGCGTACGTTTTCAGTATCAGCTGGCGTTGCGACGTTGTCGATTGTTTTATGTTAAATTTCTTAAAATCTAAAAATTATAATTACAGAAGATTTAAATAACGGCTAATGCTGATTGGGAGTAGTTCGTGATACTAGGCTACCTTTAATTATTATCGGTTTAAGGTATTATTCTACGACGTAATTTATATTTGTAATTCCTGGTTTACAATGTGGGTTAGCTATTCCCGTACGTATACGTAGGTAAGATTTTCTTTTAAATGCGGTCGAAGTGGAAATTTGGCATACATGCAATTTTCTAAGGCAATGATGGATTTCGCCAAAATGTAAGTCGCCGGGTCTAATTTATTTCTATGTCATTGAATCTAACAAATGTATATTAATCATGCAATGAATGCCTATTTAATATACACAGTTATATATTTTGTTTATTTCATCAACTTTCTCTTTTAGTTATTCGAGAGTTATTTTATTTTTTATTTACTTAATACTTATTTATCATCGGATTTAATATTAATATAAATATGGGAAGTAAAATGTCTGATACAGAAAAAAGTATGAAGTGAAACTTCTTTACATGCCATGGGAGTAAAGATTCAAGGCCGTGACACGCCTTGACACACCACTTGGCCTTGACGCACGAGCTAGAGAGAAAAAAAAGTGGTAAGGATCGCGCAAACACCAGAAAACATTTTGTTTAAAGCTAAGAAAATCATTATAATAAACTTGATACTGTATCTGCGTACCAATTCTGTACCATTCTGGATCTGTGCTAGGAAGTAAATTTTCAAGCATATTTTCATAGATAGGTTTGAAGCTTCTGAATAACGGTCTGGGTAAAGCATCTAGCTCAGAATTAGAATTATTAGAGTTAAGCAACTCGCATTTTCATTGGAGGACATTGTTATATTTATTTCAAACCAATAATCAACGAGAATATTCGTATAATTTAACAAAATTACTATAAACCACTATAAATACAAATTGTTGGTTAGGTTCAAAAAAATATATTTAAGCGTTAACATTATCAGGTATTTGTATAAAAGTGTGTTTTTGGGGGGTATTCCACAAATTGCAGGATATTGAAGAAACAGAAAATGAACAGATTACGGAAATAAATTGAAAATAATATTTATATTAAAACAGTCATTAATAATGTCAGTAAAAGAAAACAGTCATTAAATATGTCATTTTTTCAAACATGTCCTTCAAATTCTTCAATTTAATAGCTGTTAGTAAAAAGTTTCACTTCAAATATACGCACATAGTGCACACACTGTTTTTTATTGTAAAGGGGTAGACATTAATCTAACCTAAGCAACCAAGATATATGGACGACTCTGCTCTTATCTGTAATACCGGCTGAATGTGTATTAATAATGTTACCTAATTTTTTGTTTGCAGTAGTTTTAATTTCTTATTCACTTCTTCATTATGCTCTCTTACTAGAATTTTTTTTTTATAGATGTATGTATAGTTGTTATAGCATGTGTATTACTTAGTCAGAGTTTATTTTTTATTTATTTTATTTTTTTATGTATTTTTTTACTTTTAACTGAGTGAAATGCATATTGAATTTTTGTTGTACCTATTTGTTGCTTTTGAAATTAATAACCATTTATCCTAAAATTGAGAATATCTGTATTCTATAATTCTTGCAAATGTGCCTTTAAAAGTATTAAATATACCGGGTTCAACGAAATCGTTGCACATACCGCCATTATATTGTTTATTATCAAATAAATTTGAAATTTGGGTATAAAACCACATATTTTCCATTAACAAAACACAATTGAATATCACTTCCGGTTTAACTGGAACTGAGCCAAAGAGAAGAATTTGGAATAACGTCGTTGATTAAAAGAATTGGGAACATACACAACCTAATGGGCGAATTCGTGGCAAGGCTGATTTGATTTCCCCGTACGTCTCAAGTGCTGTACGGTGGAGACACCAATCGTTCTGCGGCCAACGCATAAAATACTTATTTTCTCTAATTTGGCCAGCGAAGGCATATCGAAGACGGTGTGGAACTTAAAGCGACAGTGTTGCCATAAATGTGTAATATCTGTAATACGTTTGACGAAAATATTTTTGGATGAAAAATCCGCGTTTTAAGCTTGATTTTCATGCATCCGTTATACGTTGATACGTTGGTCCGACGGTGCTCTGATTGGTCATAGCGTTTTCGCGCCACTTTTCATCCGTAAATATTTTACTTCAGGCCGTCAACGAACCCGTTCATACGATAACGGACGTTTTGACACTTTTTTGACAAATTTAATCTAACCTTAATAAAAATATAAGGAAAATCTCAAGATCGTTATGGAAACGAAAATACAAAATGACACCAACGTATATCCGATAAACGGATGCATGAAAATGCAATAAATTTAAAAACTGCGATATTTTCTAACCGATCAAAGTCTTTAAATAGGGTTTCGGATCCTCTCATTTCTTCAATCAACGATAACACCCTATATAATTTTTTGAATATTTACATGGACTCTAAGCTGTCTATAGGTCTGTCCTTTTTAGCGATATATCGCAGCGATATTTTTAAAATTAGAAGGGATTTAAATTTTCATCCAATTTTCAACATTACATTAAATAAAAGCACTTTCGGTTTATGTTGAGAATGTGAAAATTAGTTTTTGCTTTATGGCAAGTTTTAGGATAATAAGTGGACTTTTAAAAATACTGTAATTAAATATGTTAATTGTCTATTTTTTCCTTATTCAAAAATTCTAATCTATTCTATTCTACGAGATTAGTAAGTTGGGTTTTGAAAAATCATAAGGATATGTCAGCAAAATTGGTGTTGTTATAGACAATTAATAAGATATAATATTTAATTCCCAGTATTTTTCTAGGACAACTCCCTAATTCTAAATTACGGAAAAATTTAAGAGCAATTTTCACATTTTAAACAAATAAAAGCGCATTTATCTTAATTCCTGATACCTATTTATTAGGCAACAAAATATTCGTTGTTTCCGTGAACGGTATGATTTGCAATGATTATTATAAGTAATTTCAAAATTGCGCGTATATTATTTATACATTTGAAACAATATACGATTTTTATACAAACAACACGTTGAATAAACATTTTTTTCTAGAACGGTGTTGCTTGGGTATATTTTGAACCGACGAGTTTCTAATTTGAAAAAAAAAACAATGAAACGGCAGTCTGTACAACGATTTGGTCGTCACCCTGTATATAGTAGACGTCGCACTAACATGTTAGTTCTACGCCTACTGTCACGTCGTTTTTATTAGCGTTTGCCGTATACGTTTTATATTTATAGAGATATCTATCGCTTAAATAAAATTGGTGGTAATATAGTTTGTAACATAAAGATTTATTTTCATAAATTATAGTATTAAAGTTAAAATACAGGGTGGTCCAAACTGTATTCCGGAAACTTCGGCGGCATATTCCACAGATAAAAATAATAAATAAGTAAAAAAGTTCGTATAAGTCCTAAAATGCTTAGTTTCGGAGATTCAGGGTGTAGAAGGTTCATTTTTATTTCGTTTTTTTTTTTCAAATAATTTCTGAAGTAACGTCAATATTTGGATGCAAATAATTATCTGGTAGTTTTTTGACATGAGAAATTTGATTTTGATGTCAATATGACTCCTACTTCTAGAGGGCGGCAGTTTGAATAGTAATAACTTTTCTTCCGTACCTGTATAAAACTACTGAGTAAAAAATATACATTTACGAGTTTTTTTAAATAAAAATGGTCTCTTGGTAAAAATCGCTACGAGTAAAGGTTGATTCTCACTATACCTTCCATATCAGCTCCCTTCCGTTTCCCTGCCTTTTACATAAAATATTATATCATGTAAATGAATAGGACAATGCACACTATCCGTTCCGTTTCCCTTACTTTCCATATCCTTTCCTTCCATACATTTCTTTGGCGGACGGACTGAAGCGTTTCGGAAACAGCATTGTCAAGTTCTTAATTTGTACCAGCTCTGTTAAAATTTTGCTGATATTTATTTATTCTTTTACCTTTTAATTAAATCTATTACCTTTTTCAAAAAATACAAATTTTTAAAATAATATGAATTGTACAATAAAAAGTATGGAACTGATACGGAACGGAAGCTTACATATAGCGTCCATAGAATAAAAAATACGGACCGGAGATGGAATGGAAACGGAAGGTATAGTGGGAATCAACCTTAATGGTTCCCGAGATATTTGGAATCGAAATTATCAATACCTGTCATCACTGACATAAATTAAACATAATAATAAATTAGACTAAATAGTTATTAGACTGAAATCATAAATTTGAAATGTTTTTGTGACAAAAATTCAACAGAAACAGTTTTATCATCATTTCTTAGGAAGGAAAGCTTATGATTAATTTAAAAAAATAAAAAGTTCCCAAATTTATCATTTCAGTCAAATAACTATCTACTCAATATGTTTTTTTGTCTATAATGATATTATTATGTATTGACTATTTCAGGGGCGGATACAGAAATTTATTTTAGGGCCCGGAATATATTTTAGGGGGGCCCAAATAAACGGTAATGTAGAATATGCTTTTTAAAGCGCCATTTTTAACCCAAAAGCCTAATATTTAACCCAATTTATAGATTTCAGGGGGGGCCCGGGCCCCATGGGCCCCCCCCTCTGTATCCGCCACTGGACTATTTCCATTTTAAATATCTTGAGAACGGTTGCTCGTAGCGATTTTTACCAAGAGACATTTTTAACCTTAAAAATAACGGTAATGTATATTTTTTTACTCAGTAATTTTATACAGGTACGGACGAGAAAAGTTATTACTCTTCAAAACAGTTAAAACACATGTAGAAAAGATGGCTCTCCTACAAATAGCAGTCATATTGAAAATCACATCGAAATTCCAAATTTCTCATGTCAAAAATCTCCCAGACATCGATTTTCATCCAGATATTGACGTTACTATAGAAACTAGAAATTATTTGGAAAAAACAAAATAATAATGAAATTTCTACACCCTGTATCTCCGAAACTAAGCATTTTAGGACATACATTTATACAAACCTTTTTACTTATTTTTATCTGCAGAATATGCTGCCGAAGTTTCCGGAATAGAGTATGTCCACCCTGTATATTTGCTTTTCTTTTTCTTTTAAATAAATTAAGGTAATCTAATTTTTTTAAATTTTTTTCAGGCCTTCCATGCTTAGTAAGATCCACTTCTTCCAGACGTTCCTGCATATTGTTCAAATGATTTTAAGCTATTTTTTAATGTTGATATTTATGACGTACAATGTATGGCTGTGCATAGCGATAGTGTTAGGAGCGGGAATAGGCTATTTCTTATTCGGTTGGAAGAAATCTGTTATAGTTGACGTCACAGAACACTGTCACTAATGCCTAATAAATACAAATATAGCTAGTGGACTTAGGAGATAAGGCAGCGAATATCACTATATTTTTAAGACTACCTGGCGACGCAAGATATATCTTAATAGCTTTCAATCGCTCAACGGTACATAACATTTATGAAGATGAAGAAGATATATGAAGAATTTTGACTGACCTTTCCATCACGTTGAACTCAAAAAACGGGTTCTGTTGAATATTTCGTGACGAAACAACTAAATTGGAACCTAGATAACGAAAATTATCCTGATTTGGTAAATAAAATTCCTTCAAGCACATACCTCATACCTATTGTATATGACAATATGACTTGATTTAATGTTGTTCAGTAATTAATTTAAGATAATATCATTTTTTTTGTCTGACGTAATTCAATTTTAGAATAATGTCATAAAGTATTAGTAGTTTATTAATAAGATGCAAACGAAGTTGTGTCTGTTTTTATATTGTAGTTTTATATAGTTTTATTTGGTTGTTATTCCTACATGACTCCTAAAAAAATTGAATACTTATTTGGATTAAAAATGCCCTCGAAATCTATTTATTTATATTATTTAGTGTTTAAGGGTTTATATTTATTACAGGGTATGGAAAACACAAAAATATATTGACAAATAAAAATAAATAAATAAAAATATATGTATATATATATATAATATATTCATTGGTTTTTATTGTAGATTATAACTATCCTTATAAGTTTATCCGTAAAAGCTTTGTTTTTTGAAATGAGACATTGTTTTAATAATAGTATAGTCATAGTCTGTTTATAACGAGAGAATACATAACAGTTGTCAATTTAATTCGAAAATTCGAAGATTCGAAGATAAATTGTACTGTATAGTTGAAGAAAGAACGGTCTCAATTTGGCTTGAAAATGATAGATAATGTTCATCACCGTTTTTTTTTGTCACTTTTATTTATTTATTATTATATTTTTATAGAATTCGCGTTTGATTACATTTAAACATGATATACGTGTATGTATGATGAAGTACGACCCATGATAAATTAAATCATAAATACTATAAAAAGTAGAGTTTTAGTAATCAAAGTAATCGTATGGTTTTAAATTGATTAGTCGTTACTTCGGGTATCGGTATCGATAAGTAGCGAGTACTCTAGTAACGAATGTAACAAATAGTTACTTTCTCTTTTTATGATTACCTTGAATACTGTTTATATCAGAATACCCGAAGTAACGAGTAACGAATTTATAACTATATGATTACTTTAATTATTATAACTATTTATGATTTAATTTGTCATGGGTCGTATATCTAAGATGTATAGTATTTTAAATGTAATCAAATGCGTATTCTATGAAAATATAATAATAATAATGCACAGCCGAAACTGCTTGACATAGAAACATGAAATTTGGCAAATGTGTTCCTTAAGTGAGCACTAAGAAGGGATTTTTGGAAATTCGACCGCTAAGGGGTTGAAATTAGGGATAGAACGTTGCATAAAAAGTTGTTAAAATCTGTTCTAGGAATGACACTAAGAAGCGATTTTCGGAAATTCAACCTTTAAGGGGGTGAAACTACCGAAACTAGGGGTGGAAGTTTGTAGATTTTTTTTAAATTTGTCGTAGGAGTTATAAAATTTTGCGCATAGCCTTAAGCGACGAAAGTGGATACTCGATTTTTGGAAATGTATTCCCTACGAGGGTAAAATTAGGGGTGAAAGTGTACAAAAATGTGTTAAAATCGCTTCTAAAAGTATGAAATTTTGCACAGAGGTTTCTTGGGTGAGATAATTGAGCACTGCGGAGCGATTTCTGGAAATTCACACCATAAGGGGGTAAAACTGGTGGTGAAATTTTGTATATATATATTTTTTAATTAGTCCTAGGGGCATGATATTTTGTAGAGGTTTCTTAAGTGGCGAAAGTGAGTACTTAGAAGAGATTTTTTTTGGAAACTGACCACCTAATAGGGTGATATTTTTCTCAAAAATTTGTTAAAATGGGTTTTAGAAGTATAAAATTTTACTTTTTAAAAATACTACTATTTTTTATTTTTTATATTTAGTTTCTTAGGTAACGTGATTGAACGAAGAAGGCGCGATTTTTAGAAATTCGCCATTTAAGGGTGCGAGATGAGAGGTGAATGTTCAGAAAAAATATTTTTTATATTATATATTATAGTATGAAAATTTGCATAGAATATTGTGCCCTTAAACGTAGCTAGATATTCTGTGCCTTAAGTGATGAAAGTAAGTGCTCAGAAACGATTTTTAAAATTCATCCCCTAAGAGGGTGAAATTTTGGACAAGTGAATTTTTGAATATCTGTACAAAAAATTAAAATAGTTTTACAAATGTTAAATTAACACACAGGGGTTCAATTTTTAGTTCAATAAATGAAAAACGTGGGTACTAAGAATCTATTTTTGAAAATATGTCTCTTAAGCATCAGGTGAAATTAGACACAAAGGTTGACAGCAGTTGACAATAACTTGACAAAATTGACAGCAGTACCAAACATGTACCAAAATCAGTAAAAAGTAATCATAGTAATCAAAGTAACGAATATTTGAAATGATTACTTAGTACTAGTGGAACTTAGTACTCGAGTAACGAGTAATCAAAAGTAAGGAAAATCAACCATCACTACCCGGTATGCAGAATATTGCAGAACTACATTACCTTTAAATTTGGTGTATTCCTAAAATTAAAACAAAATAACTTTAATTTTTTTATTATTTTTTAAACGCGCTTGTACATATAAATTGAAAAACAATAATACATTAAAAATTCAAATTTAGAACTAAATAACAAGAAAAAAAATAAACAAAAATGTATCACAAAGACGTTTCAACCGAGTATAGAAATACTACTGATGTAATATTACTGATAGAATAGAACTAATCATGATAATTAATTATAATATGTAGAAACAGCCTATATTTTTAATATACAGGGTCAGTCTTAAATAAGTGCAAATATTTTTAGGGTAGTATATTTCTACTCCAAAAACAGGTCTATGAGGCTTTTTCGTGAGACAATTTTTGAAAAATTTTATAGTTTTTTGTTAAAAAATATAATTTCATTGCAACTGAGGTAGTATATTAAATTTAAGTAAGAAAACTCGGAAAAGATCCGTTGGTTCTTAAAATTTAAACAAAAAATCATTTTTTTTTAATTTTCAAAGTAAAATAAATCGGTTATTTTGGACTTATTTGAAAAACGGTAATGAGAGAATATGTTTCTTTTATTGAGCCACTATTTTTATTGAGCCCTGAAAATATTTACATTTATTTAAGACTCGCCCTGTATAGTTCACAGGGAATTTAGTGATAATTGTGTTATCAAGTATTCAAAGTTGGAACATATATTTTATCTCTCGCTGAGATTAAATTATCAATTCAACTAAATTTTATATAGATATTTGGATATAAAGATTCTATAAATTTTACCTATATCTACTAAGTAGAACCTTAGTACAGGTTTTTACAAAAGTAAATTAGAATTTTATACTGATTAATAATTCAACAAATATTTTGATAGTAATTTAGATTTTAATAATTGGCTTGGTTTTATCGCACGATTACACTGAACTTTTCTGAACTACATGATGTAATGTCAAAACAAAAAAAGGTATGACTATACCTATCAATTAAAGAGACAATGATATTCCTATAATGCTGCCAGCTGAATTACAATTTTAAAAAATTGAGCAGACTTCAGCGCAAACTATATAAATTGGGATAGTTAACTAAAGTCAAGGAATGGCATTATGTTGTGCATTTAAATACCAAAATGGGTACTTTAATTTTAGTCTCAAATCCAGTATTGAATACTTTTAGAACATATGTAATGAAATATTACAGAATTTATGTTGGTATTAATTATTTATCTTTAGATTTCCTTGTTTTATAATGTCCTCCATATGTCTTTAATTCTAAGTAAAGTTTAGCTTAAATTGAAATAGTTTTCTTATACTAAATAGGTTATAATTTAAGCACATTCACAAATACTATAGTACAATTAGCTATTATACACAATAAATACCTACATTAAAATATAATATGATACAGTTACGATTAACAGCTAAATGCTTTTTAACACTTGGAATACATAATAACTATTAAAAATTAATACACTGGAAATTCTAAACATCTGTGCAAATGGTATCTTTGGACCCAAAACAGTTTTTTACTACCTCTATACTAACACGTTTTAATAATTATAATAATTGTGTCCTAAAGTAAGTATAATTCCTTTACATATTGCTAAATAGCTTAAATAGTACCAGTTATTTGATTGTCAGTTTTTGTGGTGGTAGCAGAATATACATTGTTCCATATCTTATAAAAATGTAGAAAAGTTAGAATGATATTTATATAAATTTAAAAAGCTAAAGATATATATAGAAAAATAGATTAAGTTTGTGCACTGAGAATATTTTGAGGAAAATTATTTAATCTGTAGTGTGAATCCATGTGTGATACAGAAGAATAAAAACATAAAAACATTCTCATATTAAAATAGTTTCTTTTTTACTGCTGTAAATCTTTCCATGTAAGCATCATATCCGTCAACATTAGCCAGTTGCTTAGATTCAAATAAATTTCCTTCCAAGGCTAGATTACAAATTTTACTATCGCTCAATAGTTTAGGATGAATAGAGGTAATATGTAAACAATTCTCTTCCAATCTTAAAGTTTTAAGTCTTGGACATGTAGCAATCTCAGATGAAAGGTAAGAGATTTGGTTTTGATTCAAGTTCAATTCGGTCACATTTAATGAGGCTACCTCGCTTGGAACAGACGCTATTTCATTCTGAGATAAATCCAACAAATCCAAATGTTTTAGTCCACAAAACATAAGTGGAAACTCTTTAAGATGGTTATTACTTAAAAGTACTTGTTTTAAATGAATTAAATTTGTAAAAGTTCTTGGTATTGCTGATAAGTTATTATAGCTAGCGTTAAATGTTTCCAATTTTGTCAGCGCTCCTATACAGTCTGGAATTTTAGCTAATTTGTTTTTACTTAAGTTTAAGTGTCGTAATTGCATAAACCTGCTAATTTCATTAGGTAGGACAACAAATTTATTATCAGATATGTCTAGCGTCCTTAAGGAATTTTCAAGTTGTCGGAATGCTGGTGGAAACTCGTTTAATTTCCCTTGAGAGACTTTCAAAACACCAGTTTTCTGTGCTGTTTCTATGTGTTGTTTTAGTCCAGAATTACCCATTGTTAAATAAGATTACCTAGAAATATTCAAATTTAAACGGCGTAAAGATCACATACGTACTACCTGCTTTTTCATAATCTTTAAATTAATGTAATTTAGAAATCTACGAAATGTTTGATACAAACAATATCCTTGGCTGTTAGTAGATCTTCATGTTTTAATTTTTATTTTTTTATTTTGCTAATTTACAACCACAGAAGAAAATGTTGACGTCGCTGTTTTGACTCATGTCGTTAGTACTCCTATCTACTCATAGATAAAGGAGTAAATTTATATATGATGGGAGCAAGGGATGGGAGTTTAGGTCTTACGCAGGGTTCGGAAGTAGTTAATTAAGATGTAATTTACCTGATTAGCTACGTATAGTTTTTCTGCAAAAACTACGTCTTTTCTTGTTCAAATCTACATAAAAACTACTTTAAGGAGTTAAATGGAAGAGCACAGCTTATTTCAAGTTCTAAATTTCGGTCGGTCCTTCCCATTTAGAAGTAATTTACTATTTTGCTTAAATTTTTTGGTTATAGGTGTTTTTAAGTTTTTCTTATCAACGTCAATCAACGTGTTATTTTTTTTATTTTGTAATATTTTCTTTTGTTATAATAGATCTATTTTTATTTGGGAACAAAGACATTTATTTATTTTATTTAATTAACTACATATTGTTATTACGATAGAAAAACAATCCTATAAATAAAAAAGGTAATTTTGATGAAACATGTAAGGCATAAATTATTTATTTATTTAAAGAATTATCAATTCACAAAAAAAATAGGGGATATAATTGATGTAATTAAAAAGAACTTAAATTAAAGAGAGAAATTAAAATTATTTATAAAAATTATAAAAAAATTGTGTGTGCACTATTTTACGTTTAAAAATATATTTTTTGTGTAACAAATAGTTTTTTACGTGTAACAAATAGTATTTAACGTGTAACAAATAGTTCTTCCGCATAAAAAATAGTTTTTTACGTCTAACAGATAGTTTTATACGCGGAAAAAAAGGTTTATAAGCGTAAATTTTTTTTTACGTGTAATAAGTAGTTTTATACGCAAAAGAAAGTTTTATAAGCCTAAAAATAGTTTTTTACGTGTAATAAGTAGTTTTATACGCGTAAAAAAGGATTATACGCGTAAAGTATAGTTTTTACGTCTAAAAATTAGTTTCATACGCGTGAAATAAAAAATTAATAAATAATTGGATTCGCTTTTATAAAATTTGTATTAAAATATCAATATTTTTGATAAACACGTGGCTCACAAATACACGTCGTGTCACTCATTAACTCCTAAAATTTTAAGATACCTAATTTTACTTTTGCCGAATTTAACCAATTTATGTCCAGGATTCGCCAGAATTTATGGCCAGGATTATGTATTTATGCCTAAACTAGCCACACGTATCACATATTCTTCTTTCAGCCGTTTTATAATAGAGAAAGTGAGATAGTGAGAAGCTGAATTTCACATTCAGGAACTTCTGTATAAAAAAATCGTTGGGATCGGATCAAACGTTCGAGTCGTTCGAGTATATCTATCTTTTTCGTTCTCGCGACCTAAAAAAAGGTTAAAAACCTTACACGTGTTGCAAAACAGAAGAATACGATACAAGAAAATATACGTGTTGTTTTCGTTTATGGCGGATGGCGATATGGTGCATGGGCTTTTTGCAGTATAAAATTCAGTCTTTAATTCATTAATTATATGTTTTATATTTCTAATTGATTAGTGTGTTTTAGCAAGTGAGTAATGATAAACTCAAATTATCTTATTTCTTAGTAATCGATTCTAGGAAGGTTGAAAACAAATCCCGTATGTTTTTGTTTACATTTTTGTTATGAAATTCTAGAAATGTCGCCTAAAAGGCTAGAGTATACCATAATTGAATCTAATTCTTAACAGTAATAATGTAGAATAACATATTCTACTAGAATATCGCCAGTTTAATATGAGTATTATATTGTTTTCAACATTTTCTGGACATGTTGGCGATCACGTATCTACTTCTGACAAAAATATTTTTATTGTGAGTGTAAAATAGCTTATGGTATGAAAACCACATTTTATCTAATAATAAAATAGTATAAATAACGGCAAGAAGTGGCAAATAAGTACGTGCCGGTTAAGTTATTACGCCTTTCAATTTTAGCCTTCACTTTAAAATTTTATTTATAAACGATTGTAGCGCACGCGTTTCCCATTTTTATAATTTCAACAACAAAATTGTTTTTAACCTATAAATCCAAACGAGAGCTTTATTTTTAATTACATTTTTATAATACCTATTCATACTTGTATTTATTTTTGATGACAATGTTAATGTAATTGGACGTTAAAAATAAATTGCAATTGTAATTATCTTTAATTAAATAATATTTATTTATAGTGTCTTCTTAATACTTCATGTTATTTAATATTTACTTCATTATTTTATTTATTATATTGTTATGTATTATATTTGGGAACAAATATATACATATTAATATTGATAAGAAGCAATATATCAATTGCCAAACATTTTATTTACCTACTTTATATAAAAAAAATATTTTGTGTTGATCAGTATACAGGGTGGCCCAGTATTCTGAAAAAGCTCTGTCAGGTTTCTGATTTGAGATTTTAATTATATTTTTTTTGTACAATACTAAAATAGGTATAGGGGCAATTGTAAACATTACAAAAATATTTTTTCAATATGTTTACAAGGCGATTCAAGTCTTTAAATTAAAGTTGTATATTTTTAAATAAAATGCAATATATTGTTTAGCGCAGTGGATTTGCCATTACTTTCCATTCTGACAATGCGGTAATGTCATTATGCTAAGGTAAATACCATAGACAAACAAATAAAAAGAGACTGACAAATCTCATGGTAAAGAGTGGGACCGCGTTCCCGTAGCGCAACTCAGAATAACAATTTTGAAACCAATTAGCAGGACCATGGCAGCACGTACAGCTGGTTCCAATAAAATTGAATACGATTTAAAACATATTTTTATTATTTCGGGCAGTATATTCTATGATACCAGTCCCCCATTTCTCTATTCATGTCATGTTGACGTTCTGAAAAATTTATTTGCCACTTTGTCAACAGCAAAGTTGTTTTATACAATGTCACAATAACCTTAACATGTCAAAATACTTGACACAAATATACACTGCCCAAATATTCGAGAAAAATGTGTAAAGAGTTGTATTCATTTTTTTTGGAACCAGCTGTACGTCTTTATTGCTATCTTTCTTTATTATGTGTGCTTTATATGAAAAAGAAAGAGATAGGTATAAAACGTATCGTAAGACATTATCGCTCATTCTGGCAGGCGGAAAATTTAAATTAGCATTATTAGTAGTATTCTTTCATTCTGAAACTGAAAATTTTCACTTAAACTGATTTATATTCCCTGTACCACGTAAAGGGAACGTGGTTTACAGTGTAAGTGAAAATTTGCAGCTTCTTTCAGAACGAAAGAATACTATTATAAGGGAAATTATAAAAAAAGCAAAAATTGTACTGTTTTATAAACATATTTATTTATACATAAAAATAAATAAACTTTTTATAATATAATAACAAAAAATAACAGTGTTTATTCCAACCACCTACCAATTTTAAATGCAAAAGAACTAACTGTTGCAGGAAACGATCGGCCAATTTTTTTAAAGGGCATTAAAAATCTCATTTTCGAAAAAACTACCTAATTGCCATAACAAAGTGAATATCCAAGCAAAGAAGACTTTACGAGAATCATGATCCTGAACCATTTTCAAGTCCAGTTTTAATCCTAAAACAAAAGTAAAATAGGTATATTAATAAAGTTTCTGGTTACTATAAACCAGCTATAAACTACCTACCCAAAAAAAATAAAAAAATTAATTGTATTAATTTGTTATGAGAGGTTCGAAATATTTTGGAGACTACTACTTCTACTTTTTTCTTAATAAGATGATAAATATAACTACTTATTTTTATTTTACCGGGTGTCTTTAACATATCTATCAGAGAAAGGGGGCACCAATACATATAAAAAATAGATGATACTGGCTCCTGCAGCAAATAAAATAACAAATAGTATAACCGAAAATTATAAGTAACAAAATATAAATACCTATATGGAACAAAGGAATTTGTTCCCTATCCATATTCTTAAGTCAATAAAATGGAGAGTTTAGAAAAAAAGGTAAATCACCAAAAGAAAAATTAACAAACATGACGAATTGTCATGATGTCGTCATCTTGGTTGTCATGATGACGAAAACGAAAGGCGATTGTTCTAATTTCTATTTAGAAATTACGTTTTATATGGCTGCTTCTTTCTCTCTTGTTATATTAGAATGAGATAGTGAGCCCAATAGACGCAATGCGCAGATCAGCATAAATAGAACGAAATTTTGCGTTCTGAGTTGCGCTACGGGAACGTTGTCCCTCTCTTTGCCATTTAATTTGCCAGTCTCTTTTTATTTGTTTGTCTATGGTAAATACCTAGTTTTTGTAATATGATCATTCTTGGATAACATTTTCTACATACCTAAATAAATATAATAATACAGGGTGTTGCTTAATGACATGCTAATTTCAGCTTGTTTGTGGCATCAAGTTTAGACTCGTCCTGTATAATATAACAGAGTGTATTTTAATTGATTAGTTTGAAACAATTATAAAATATTTTCAATTAAAAATATAAATAATTTAGTATTTTATATTTTTTAATAATTACATAGAAAATTTTTAAATACTATACAAATTATTATTTATTTTTTATATGTATACAGGGTGTTCCTTAATGATATGCTAATATTTAAGGAGGTGATTCTTGGACCTATTCTAGGAGAAAAACCTCATATGAATGTATGTCCTAAACATCTTAATTTTTGAGATACAGTGGTAAGTTTTTCTAAAATTTTTTTTTTCATAATAACTATTGATTTTATTACAGATATCTTTATGAAACTTGATACACGTCCTCCTATGCATCAAAATATATTTTTTTGGCGTACAAAGAATTTTATTTATTTCAACCAGTGCCGTCCACATGGGTTTTACATTGAATATTTTTGGAGAAAATTCCCGGGAAATTAAGAAATAAAACAATTTTTTTTTGTATATCAAAATAAGCATTTTTGATGTATGGAAGACATGTGTATCAAATATACCATCAGAGATATTTTGAAAAAAAAATAGAAAATTTTACAACCCTGTATCTGAAAAGTTTGTTTAGGACATACATATATTCATATAATATTTTTTTTTCTTAAAATACGCCCAAGAATCACCTCCTTAAATATTGGCATGTCATTAAGGAACACCCTGTATACATATAAAAAATAAATAATAATTTGTATAGTAATATTATTTAAAAATTTTCTACGTAATTATTAAAAAAAATATAAAATACTAAATTACTTATACATATTTTTAATTGAAATTATTTTATAATTTTTTCAAACTAATGAATTAAAATGCACTCTGTTATATTATACACAGGGCGAGTCTAAACTTGATGTATACAGGGTGGTGACAATTTCGATGCTCAACATTGGCATCTCAGAAAGTACAATAGATACGAAATCGGTTAAATGGGACAAAAGTTGCGTAATTAGAAGTTTGACAAACACCTATGAAGAAAACCCCGGTATCTTGATGGAACATTAATATCATAAGCTTTTTTAAAATAGTGCCCTCTTGTTTTTTTAAGCTACCAGCAACTGCTAAATTTCTTGAAATCTTTGCGAAAATAGTACGATGAGGCTGTGTCCTTTCAGGATACAATGTTCTACCGTATGATCGAGAAAAAACGGCGTCAGCGATGGCTATGGAATGAAAATCGCTGTCATTTTATATGTAAATTTATATGGGAAATGTCATTGATGTTCATTTCCCAGCCAACTGGACGCCGTTTTTTTTCGATCATACGGTATATCTTGCGCACGCCATATCGGAATTTCTATTATTTTTTAAGTAAACATCATACATATCTCGTATTTCCTCACTTGTGCACATATTGTTGACTGTTAATACACTTTACACTATCTACTATAATTTTTTGTGTCCAGATTTGATATTTAATAGAGTAAACCAAAATTAACTTGCTGTCATATAAAGTGTCAATTAGATTTCCAAGGCAGACTTGATCTTTTGAGCGAATTTTTAAAAAATATATATTTTTTTTGTAAATTTACATAATAATGAATAAAAATTAGATATCACCGTATAGATTATTTTTTGCTCTATCTAATAGTATAAAAATTCAAAATGGCGGCCATAAGAAAACAAAAACTTGACTGTTGTTGTGCGAAATCTAGAAGGCTTGGAAATTTTCTGGAAACGGCATTTAAATGGCCGGGGTCAAAAATATAAAACTGCCAACTTACGTTGCAATAGATACAATAGTTCTGAAGATATTCTCATTTAAAATAAACGCATTATTTTAATTTTTTTGACATAAATCCGAAACTAATCAAGATACCGGGGTTTTCTTCCTAGGCGTTTGTCAAACTTCTAATTAGGCAACTTGTGTCCCATTTAACCGAATTCGTATCTCTTGTAGTTTCTGAGATGCCAATGTTGAGCATCGAAATTGTTACCACCCTATATACTCCACTATTTTAAATGAAAAACACTGAATTTTATGGCATAAATGAACTTAATTTTTTTCAATTTCATGTTTTGTGTGTTAAATTATTTTTATATCTGAAATCTTAATTTTCCGTTTTTATTGATTTTTTCCAGTTGCATAATTGTAATAAGCAAAATAAAACACTAAATCACCACAATACACCAAAACCCTTTTACTTTTAAACTGGACGCGCGTTTCGCTAACCATGTTAGCATCATCAGCAGATGATTATAAACCTCGAACGCGATACTCTCACTCCATTCAATTGAGTCATAAAGTTCAGAACTGTTCCGCGCCATATGAAGGCACCAGACTATTGCGCACAGCTCCTTTCAGAACCGTTCTCAAGTAGCCCAGGGCGTAAAGCACTGGAACTTAAAGTTCGCGAATGGAGGACAGCAAATAACTGCACTAGTAAGAACTAAAAGACTTAAATATTATGACATAGTCCCGATTTCAATATTATTTCAATGCGATCAACATGAACGATAACCGGGGCGGCGTGAAATAAAGTTAATCGGGCAGTTCTGATTTCTGCCGTATCGAGCGCTGCTGACGTAAATTTTAAAAATCGGTTGAAATGCACCAAGCCTATAGCACTCAGTGGCAACACATGGTTCTATACATTGGGGGTGCACAACCTTAGAACAAAATTATGTGCCTCATGACTACATACATGATAACGAGCTTTATCGGAATGCTGGGCCACCCTGTTTATGAATACTACTAGAGCATTTGTTTACTGTTGTTAATAATTTTAGGTGGTTATTGAACGAAAAACTGAAGCCTATACTAAGAGGTCTCTCTGAGCTTCGAAGTTTGGCAATTACTCAAGTTTTTATAAATCACTACTTTTTTATTATTGTGATTAGTCCTTAAGGATAAGATAAGATAAGATGGCTAAGGATAGAGGTGATATTATTGATCTTGTTGAAGAAGCAGTGGCTATTGAAAAGGCTATAGATAATGAAATATCGACTTCAACTGCTAGAAGTACTGGTAGCATTGAGGTGGCAACTAGACGTAAGCCTAAGAAGGTTCACCGTCAAAATAGCAAAGAAGGAGCCATAAATGTGGGAAATTTCATTCATAAGCCTAGGTAAATGTCCACTTAGTACCTTGAGTTTGATAAAAATTATTTTTAATTAAATATTAATCTGCTAACTATAAAATCAATTTACTTATTAGCTTTATCGTTTTTATAATAACTTTTAAATCAGTCCAATTAGTTACTGTAACATTTGGTAAGGGAGGAGATATTGATTATTAATATGCTCAATAGAACAACATAACTCACAAACAAAAGTAGTTTGTTTATCTTGCTGTTGCCTTAATTCAAGTGTGCTGTATCTTTTCTGTGATTCAACCTGTACCGTACCGTGCACCAAATTTCAAATATCAAAATATATCTCATCAAATAATACAAGGAGAAAATAAAACTTTTTTTCAATATTCTATTTTATTGAAGTATCATTTAGTAGTGGGAACTATCGAATGAATACTATCGAAACATTCGATAGTTGCAATTCATTCGAATAATTCGATAGTTAGTAAGAAAACATTTGTTGAAAACTATTCGAATAAAAATTATCGAATAGATCCGTCATCTGCCTTGAAATATTGTATTCTAGTAATTCGGCAGCAAAAACCATTCATTTATAAAATTCATTCATTTATGAAATTCATTTATTCGTCAGGATCGAATATAATAAAATATTAACTGAATTTTAGTTGTCGCCCGGCGACGTAGGTTTCTTTCCGAGAAACCCGACAGCGGTCGGTGGCAATGCTATGAAAGAAGCCGGCATCTTTGATTTTTTGCCGAGTCAGATATAGATAACGACACATTATTTTTTTTATTGAGGTGCTAGTATTTACACAGAAAATACATTATGAAGGGCGCTGTTGCCATATTTTGGTATTAGTTGATATTAGCAAAGAATATTATTGTTTGGCTTTAGTTAGTTAGGGATAGTATGTTTATATATTCTGCATTTTTTTTATTAATATTCTGTTGTTACACTGCAATAATACTTGTTATTTTGGATGTAGAGGAAAATGATTTTTAATGTTTTTAAGCAAAGACTGGTTTAATAAATAATAATAACAGTAATAATTTGTTATACCTATTAACAACATAATTTAAAATCATTTAATATAAATATTTTTTTTAAGTAGTAGCAAAATATAAACAACAAATTAGATGTCAAAAATTATTTATATTAGATCCAATTTAAAAATAATATAGTCTCTAAATTTTTTGTGTGTGGCAACGTTGGTTTATTAAATAATAATAATTACAGAACTAATTTGTTATATTAACAACAAATTTTAAAATCATGAAATATAAACGTTTATTAATTTTCTAACCATGCAGTGTAATGAAAGGAAAATATAAATAAAAAATCAGAAATCAAAATTATTTATATTAGGTGCTTTATATTACTATTTAAAAATTATATTTACTTTTACTGGCATTTACTTTAAAAAATAAATGAAATATTTCTTCGCAAAAAACTACATGTAAGAAAATTAGCATAAACAAAATCATCGTTAACTTTTTTTTTAAATTGGCACGTGTAAAACTTTCATTTTAATTTTCTCACCCCATAGTTTGAGTTCGATAACCATTTACTTAACCACATTACTTAAATATGATTATTAAGTTCAACTAATTCATATTATTAAAACATCTAAAATACAAATATGTATTTTTAAAATTAATTGTAAGTTCATCTCATCTCTCTTAAAAATTGCTACTTCTCAAAATTTCCCATTAAAAAATAGACCATATACCATATAAAATTAAATAATTGAAAGATCGTACTACGGAAAACCTCACAAATTTTCGGAAAAATTTTGACCAGCTGCATATGCACACAATCGTCAATAAATAAAATTAAAAAATAACTACTATTTTAGTATATTTACTATTTTAATAAACGCAAAAATAGCACAGTATTTATACGGCGAAGTTATAAAAATTTGGAGGAACTAATAATGCACTGACGCATACAAAAATCAAACGAATACTAAATTTCATTTATCAAAAGCATTCGATAGTCGTGGCTCAACGATAACCATTTAGTCGCACGGCGAGGTTGTCACATATGCTTTACACTGCTTGGCACATTAGGCTTACAAATGAATGAATGATTTTATTCGAATAAAACCATTCGATAGTTGAAATCATTCATTCATTAACCATTCGATAGTCTAATTCATTCGATAGTTCCCATCGCTAGTATCATTAGCTACTGAATAAAAAATCATGAAAGGGTCAACACTACTTCGATATTTATACGTCGATTTATACGAAGCGACCGACGCCATGGCCAGGTCGGTCAAGTTTACCCCCCGTACTAGAGGAAATTCAAAAATAGATATACCACTATTTTGCACACCATACATCATATTTTGCACACTTACCTAAGAGAAACCAGAGCCGTTTTTTAAACGGGGGCAAACTTGACCGTTATGTTTTTAGGTTTTTTTAAATGGGACACTTCATACACAATGGGACACATTTCAAATATTTATTCAAACCCTTATAACTTTTGTCAAGAGAGTGTGCAAAATTGTGCAAAATTAGCCGGTTCGTTTGATATAAACAAAATTCCAACTTCGTAGCTGATGGGGGGTAATTGCAAATTTTTAAACCCTCATAACTTTAATCAGGATGGAGTGCAAAATTCAAAAACAGGTGTGCAAATTATCCGATTTGTTTGATATAAACAAAATTCAATTTAGTCACAGATGGGGAAATTTCAAATTTTCAACCCTTTATAACTTTCGTCAGGAGGGTGTGCAAGACTTAAAAATAGGTGTGAAAAATTGTGCATAATTAGCCGAATCGATGTACAGGGTGATTCAAACTTCCCGCCCTTGGTTTATTTATAATTTATATAATTTCGAAGAATAATAATATAATTTCGGAGACAGGATTTGAATGGCAGTGTGTAAGGTATGTTTTTTCGTATTTAAACATTTTTCAACTTTTTTCAAAATGGTGGAAATGACGTCAAAAAAATATTTTTGATCATTTTTTTTTTCATATTCTGAAAGAACTTTTTTTTAGCCGACCATACCAATAGGTATGGTAGGCTATTAGGACCGGCTTTTTTTAAACAACTTTCATTAAAAAAAAATTTATATGAGACTCTAAAGATGAAATTTTTAAATAAATCTCAACTTACTCTTACTTAATAACTTCGGATTTATTGTTAATAATGTTAATTTACCAAAAAAAGATACTAATGACAAAATATTATTTGGTTTAATCAGCTTAAAACGCTCATTTGTTACTTGGCCGACTTAATTCATATCACGGGGTGAGTTGTGAGCTTGTAACCAAATAAAGATAGAGAAAAACTTTTTTAATGAAAGTTGTTTAAAAAAATATGTTCTTTTAGAATATGAAAGAAAAATGACGACTTTGTGAAAAAAATATTTTTTTTGACGTCATTTCCACCATTTCGAAAAAAGTTGAAAAATGTTTAAATACGAAAAAATATACCTTATACACTGTCATTCAAATCCTGTCTTCGAAATTTGTATTTGCAGTTTTCCTTTTCCTGTTATAAGCCAAGAGCGGGAAGTTTGAATCACCCTGTACATAGAAATAAATCAATTTCGTAACACAAGGGGGAGCGGTCAAGTTTGCCCCCCGTTTAAAGGCGACCGCCAAGCATCCGACTCGGACGTCCGATCCGATATCGGATCGTAAGTATGCCATATAGTTAAATAACCTATAGTTTATTTGAGCTGACCGCCTTTAAGTCGCTCGCACATTTCCTACTATTCGATACGATTGTCTGAAACGATTATCGGATCCGATTATCTGACGCTCAAATAAACTATAGGTTATTTAACTATATCGCACACTTACGATCCGTTATCGGGGCGGACGTCCGAGTCGGATGCTTGATCGTGCGTCGTACTGGTCGGACCGACAACAAATCTGATCCGACAGCCGGAAGGTGTTCTATGCATTGTTTTTGTATATTGTACGGCAAACATACGATTATTTTTATCAGTTTTGATGCGTGAGTTGCTCAGTGCAGGCTTCTTTTATTATTAATTAGTTATAAAAAATATAAAACGGAAATATTTTGTCGACAGTGTGCGGTAGTCGTCCGATTCAAAATCGTTTCAGATAGTCGGATCCGATAGTAGGAAATGTGCGGCCGCCTTAAAAAACGGCTCTGGTTTCTCTTAGGTAAGTGTGCAAAATATCATTTATGGTGTTCAAAATTGTGCAAAATAGTGGTATATCGGTATATCTATTTTTGAGTTTCTTCTAGTACAACTTGGGCAAACTTGACCGACCCGCCATGGCCGCCATGGCCACCATCTTGAAACTTGAAACCCCTTTTTTCAGTTAGTTACTTTCTCTGATTATTTTGTATTCATATTTATTTTATATTAGTTTTCTGCAAAGCGTATAAATCTGGAGAAATATTATGTTAGGACTTAATAATAGCTCTAAAAGCCTAAAAGCCTGATGGCTTGATTGGTTATCGATGTCCATTTGTTTCTGTCTTTCGCCTTTCTTCCCCACGCATCCTCTCTTATCCTTCTCAAGTCCTCTTCAACATCCTTTTTCCATGTGGTTCTCGGTCTAACCCCACCTTCTCTTTCCACCTATTTCACGTTTCATTATTATACTAGGAACTCTTGCTTCAGACATTCTTTCAATGTGTCCCAGCCATCTGTCTTTGTGCTCTTGCTACTCCCGTTATACTCGGTGCCCGATATAGTTGCTTTAATTTTTCATATGTTCTTCTGCTCCATATGTTGTCCATCTTCTTTCCTCCAAAAATCTTCCTCAGTATTTTTCTTTCCCAAATCTCCAGCCTCGAACTTTCCGTTGCATTGAACGTCCACGATTCACATGCATACAGCACTATTGGTCGTATCGTTTGGTACATTCTGATTTTTAAACTTCTAGAGATGTTCTTACTCTTAATAATTTTCTGTAGTGCGCTAACACTTCTATTTCCTGCCATTATTCTTGCTTCTTGGACTTAAAATTAGAGGGGGTTATAATCAATCTGAGAAAGAGACTTCAGAAATAGTTACAATGTGTAGCGTCGTGATCGCTCCCAGACTAAAAATGTAATATGAAAATAATGTTTCACAAGTAAGGAATACTGGATTTAAGTTTATTGTACCTTGCTTTAGGTCTTGGAAAAACAGTCGTCGCTCCCGTAATGGATACGGACGTGGGTTACCGAAAAAAGGCGGCGCTGGCGGCAAAGGCGTTTGGGGCAAATATGGTTCTGAGTTGCTCGAAGACTACGAAGACGTTAATGATCCCAACTTTGATTCTGAGAATCTGAATAATGGGGATATTGAGTTAAAAGTTGTTGTACCTGAGGTTTCAAATGAGGAGTTAAAGAAAAAGGTAAACGTCTATCCTAACTTTCCGTTATATTTACTTAAATACATTTTTTCCATGCACAGTCGACAAGAGACATTTCACTATGTGTATGAATCACTATGACGATCTTGTAAGTCGGAAAAAAATAGGAAGTGTTTATTACATAAGCACATAATCTGAGGGTGCATCCACACTATTCTAGAAACGGCGTATCGGCGTAACGACCTTGAATAGATTTCCAGTAATTCTGTTGGCTGAAAAATTCATCTGTCAGAAATTTTATCTGTCAAATTAATCTGTCAAAAATTTCAGCCAATAGAATTACTGGAAATCTATTCAAGGTCGTTACGCCGATACGCCGTTTCTAGGATAGTGTGGATGCACCCTGACTCTTTATTTCATGCGTTTGGGAATGTACTTACTTTTTGTACATACATTCTTTGTTCAGTACAGTTTATTGTACTGAGCACATTGATTGTACTCTTCCAACACACGAAAATTGGCACTCCAAGTTAGTCTTTGCCGACTGTGTATATAAGATAAAGTACAGTAACTAGACTATACCTTACCTATGCCAGATAATACCGTAAGATCGAAAAAAAACGTCGTGCAGTGAAGGCTTAGAAACGACGATCGATGGTATTCTCCATGTTAATTTACATATAAAATGACAGGAATCATTATTTCGACGCCATCGTTGACGCCGTTTTTTTTTCTCGATTATATTGTATATAATTTGCTACACAGTGTAGCCTGTCTAGCAAAAGATATAATATACAGGGTGTTCCTTAATGACATGATAATATTTAAGGAGGTGATTCTTGGGCCTATTCTAAGAAAGAAATGTCATATGGATATATGTCCTAAACATCTGAACTTTTTAGATACAGGGTGGTAAAATTTTCTAATTTTTTTCAAAATATCTCTGATGGTATATTTGATACATGTCTTCCATGCATTAAAATGATTACTTTGATATACAAAAAAAAAATTGTTTTATTTTTTAATTCTTTCCAGCCGACGCAGAAATGATTTTCACACAACTGTCACCGCATCATATTTTCAGCAATTTGACCATGAAGTAAACTGACTTTAATATTTTTAAGCAAAAACTATACGTCGGACGAAAAAAAATCAAGAGATAAAAAATGTTTAGAAATGAATGGAGATTTTTTTATTTTAAGAGAAGTCACTGGTATACCACTTTTTTCTTTAAAAATATTCAATGTAAAACCCGTAGGACGGCACTGGTTGAAATAAATAAAACAGACAAGGTCCAAGAATCCCGCCCTTAAATATTAGGATCTCATTAAGGAACACCCTGTATATGTTAGTAAAATTATGTTTTGTCATTTTAGTTCAACAGAGATTGTTTTTTTTGTGTACCTGTACTTTTTTTTCTGTGTTGTCTGTCAAAATTCTTTTTAGTGTTAATTTTATCAGTTTTAAACGTCATTTTAATTTAATTTTATAGTGTGAACTAATCATATTGGAATACTTTGAAAGTAATGACATTCAAGAGGTGGCCCAATCTGTAGAGGAAATTGTTCCTCTCAATCGTAGGGATGTGTTTGTTCAGCAAGCTATCGAAACGGCAATGGACCACAAACCATCCCATAGAGAACTGACATCAGTAGTTATTTCTGATCTCTACGGATATGTAATTACCGAGTCGGATATCATTAAGGCCTTTGAGAATTTACTCGCTAATTTGAACGATTTAATTTTAGATATACCTGATGCTCCTGTAGTTCTAGGTAAGTTAAAATTAATTGTTTCTATGTAGTACCGTCTGATTGAAAAAAAAACGGCGTCCAGTTGGCTTGGAAATGAATATCAATGACATTCCCTTTATAATTTTACGTTTGAAATGACAGCTATCTTCATTTAATAGCCATCGCTTACACCGTTTTTTTTCGATCATATTGTATAATATCAGTTGAGATGATGCATGTTTAGTAACGAAAAATTGCTACCGTCGCGCATCGATGGCGGCTTGCTAACATACTGATTAAATTATTTATTATACTTCACTTCAACTATTAAATATTATCACTAAGATTTAAAACGCAACATTAACCGTTAAAGAAAATATTTAAAATTTTTGGAGGAAAAAACTGCCTGACAAAAAAATTTGTATAGCCTAAACGTCAAATTTACTGATTAAAATAGCCACTGTGTCATAAAGAGAAGGCATATGGCTATCTATTTCAAAAATTAAATTGTTTGAATGTTATATAATTTGGTCGTAGCTGGCATGGAATTGAGAGATTAAAAAATTATCATAAATCCTTTTTTTTTCAAATGGAAACCCACTTTTTTATTTGTGACCAGTGAATACCAGTGAAAAGATTTTTCAATTCGTTATTTTTTGGTTATACATGTTCCTATACCTAAAATAAATCGTTTTAAGTTATTTAAGATTAATTTTTCTTGATTTTATCGAGCTTCCTTTGACATTAAGTGTCAAACCATCAGACGGTTTATTTCATTTCCTTCTGTCAAAAACTAATAATTTGAATTTTGTATATTATAAATACTGCTGCTAAAACTTTATAAAGTGTATTTGTAAAAAGATATCTCATATTTTAGTGATATCTAATTGCAATTTGACATGACCAGATAGAGTTTTACACCGCTTGACGATTAAAGTCATAGGCTACTGGTAGTACTGGTTAAAAACCAGAAAAATATACGCTTAAAATCTTAAATGACTTAAAAACGATTTATTTTAGGTATAGGAACATTTATAATCAAAAAGTAACGAAATTGAAAAACCTTTTCACTAGTGAAATAAGAAAAGTGGGTTTCCATTTGAAAAAAAAAATATTTATGATAATTTTTTAATCTCTCAATTCCATGACAGCTACGGCCAATATTATATGGCATTCAAACAATTTAATGTTTGGGATAGATAGCCACATGTTTTCTCTTTATGTCACAGTGGTTGTGGTAATCACCAAATTTTACGTTTAGACTATACAATTTTTTTTGACAGGCAGTTTTTTTTCTTCCAAAAACGTTTAATCTTTTTTTTCAAAAACGGTTAATGTTAGGTATAGAGTGTTTGATATAAAAATTCATAAAATTTTATGAATTTTGCATTTTAGTGCCGCCATATTGAAACTATTTTAAATCAGTAAGTGCTAAATCTGCGATCTAGATAGTGTTATTCTCTAGAAACTTCTAATGCACGTTCAGTCTGGGATACCCTGTATAAAACTAATACATTATCATAACACAAAGTTTAATACATAATTTTTACGTTAAATTTTTAACGAAATATTGAGTTTATTGTTCCCAACAAATATTGTTATCTCTTTATCATATTAATGCATGAATACACTTCTTGCTACAATGTGTACATATTTTTTTGTACCGTTTTTTTGCTTTAAAATTAGGAATAATGGACTTATTAACAACCTTTTCAATTTTGCCACTAATTATATTTCAAAATTTGCTAGTAATGTCATTTAGGCCTTGGATTTATCATCCGTGAAGAGAAATTGGTTGGAAATTAAACGTTTATTGTTTTATAACTGGATTATTAGGTTTTCTCTATGCATACAACTGTATACTGCAAGCTGTTGCTAGGATATTCTATTAATTGTATTTTTTTAGACATGGCAATGATTTTAAACCTTTAAGAATAAAGTATAAGGGTCCAGGGGAAAAACACGATAAGCGCCATTTCACTGATTTTACAGCGAGAGCACTGGACGGCTGGTAGTTAACAGGTCCTTGCCGTATATTCTATATTTTTACTAGGCATATATCATAGATATATCATAAATTGCCCTGCAGAGTTTATACATTTTGTAGGGACCAGTTAGACCTACTATATTATTATAAAATCCTAAATCTAAGAAATTGGCGCTTATCAAGTTTTTCCCTGGACCCTTCAATTGTAATCACTAATTTGGAGGTTCTGAACGTAGCTTTAATAAAACCAATATCCCTATTGCAGGCAACTTTATCGCTCGAGCTATAGCCGACGACTGCATCCCTCCACGTTTTATTGTCTCTACTAAGGAGAAAAGCGACGATAATATCTTCCAAGAAGCCTTAATTCGGGCCGACACTCTCCTCTCCATGAAGCACGGTCTGGTGCGATTGGACAACGTGTGGGGCGTGGGCGGTCCGCTTCGACCAGTTCAGGCGCTCACCAGGCAGATGTCGCTGCTGCTTCAAGAATTTGTATCGTCGGGCGATGTAGAGGAAGCTTCGCGTTGCCTGACTGTGCTCGAGGTTAGTGATAATTTTTTAATTATCCACTTAGATAAGTTCCAACCTTATACCACAAAACATCCCCCTTTTGAACTTCATCTGTCATGTTAAGAAATGAAAGTAAATATAAAGCGCCTCTCGTATTTGTTCGCATACTAAAATTTTCAATTAATGCCTGTATATATTTTTAATATATACAGAAAAAGTTCTACATTTTTGTTAATTATAAAGTAATATATTACATTTAAATGTAATATATTACATAACAATTAGGTATGTAAGGCTTGTTTTCTAACATTTTTTAAATAAAACGAATTATAACATTTCATTATACAGGGTCCGGCAATAGTGCGTCAATCTTTAGCTCCTAGAATAAAAAACTTGAGAATTTTGTTAAGTGTAAACATAAAGTATGCACGAGGATGTATTTCAGGAAAATATTTTAACTTCTATAGGGTGGCTTATAAAAGTGTGAGTGGATCGGGATGATTTTTTTTAAATGGAACACCCTGTATATTGCTGCATTTTTGGCTTCGTTTCAGATCACTTTGCATAATCCTAAGATATGAGTAAATATATTTCGTTAATTTCAGAGATATTAATAAATAAATAAAAAAAAAATTTTTTAGACCTCTTAAAAAAAATTATTACCAATACAAGAGCTGTCTTGAAATGAAAACTATAATTGGTATTTACTTTTGATGGTCTATACTTACTTTGCTCTAAATATCGTAATTTTAAATCATACAGTGAGTTCAAAATTCTACGCCAAATTTTCTAAAATATAAAATAATTTTTCTTCGTTTTTTTTACATGGAACATCCTGTATATTATCTTTTTATTAGATGGAGAGTTAAAAAACAAACATTTTTGATATTTAAAGTATTACAAAATTTTTAATGGTTAGGTTAGGTTAGGCCATATGAAATATAAAACCGAGAATATCTGCCAAACCGTTAAAAATTTTGAAATACTGTAAATACAAAAATTGTCCATTTTTTAATTCTCCATCAATTAAAGAAATAATATACAGAGTGTTCCATTTAAAAAAAAAACAAAGAAAAAATATTTTAAATTTTAGAAAGTTTGACGTAGAATTTTTAACATCCAGTATGATTTACAATTACCATATTTACAGCAAAGTAAATACACACTGTCTAAAGTAAATGCCTAATACAGTTTTGATTTCAGGAAAGTTCTTGTATTTTAATAATTTTTTTCAGAAATGCTGAAAAATATATATTTTTGATTTATTTATTAATATCTCTGAAACTATCGAAATATATTTACTTATATCTTAGGATTATGTAAAGTGATCTGAAAAGAAGCCAAAAATGCAATAATATACAGGGTGTTTATTATTGCATTTTTGCCATTTAAAAAAAAATCATCCCAATCCACTCACACTTTTTTGAGCCACTCTAGAGAAGATAAAATATTTTCTTGAAATACATCCTAGTACATACTTTAGGTTTGCACTTAAACAAAATTCCCAAGTTTTTTATTCTAGGAGCTACATATGAAAAAAGTAAAATATAAAATGGATAAACGCTTACTTACATTGCATTAAAACTGCCACTTTTAGTTTTGCAATCCAAACTCAATATTTCTTTTTCGCAAATAAAAATATCCGACGACACTAAAATCATTGAAACTTCTGCGGCTGAAAACGAAAACTGAAAAGTGTAACAGCACTTTTTTTTGTGAACCTGCATATCAAAATTACGCTGTATCATTATGTTTTTGCTTTTGAAATAATATAAAACATAATAGAATTGTCTAATTACTAATAATAACTTGTGAATTTTAATATTTTAACTCTGATTTCTCTGATCTATATTTATCTTAGACAATAACTAACTTTTTGTTATCAGGCGACATTTTAGACGGCAACTGACATACATATATGTCTTAATATGTTAATTTTAAATATGTATGTAATATAATTTAAATTAATATAATGCAGCTTTGTACTAAGAAAACATTCATTCAAAAAATACAACGAAATCTAACAACATAGTTTGAAAACATTGAAAATTGAATTAAAATAAAAAAAATTAAGCGCGACCGCTTGTGTCAAAATTAGATGATTAAATTTTCGCAATTTTTACACCATTTGATGACCGGTGGCGCCTCTACTGTTTGTACGCACGGTTATTCTTTTATTCTCGTTTATGGTCATTAAAGAAAAAGTTCTAAAGGGGGATGTTTTGTGCCTTATACTTCATCTTTGACATAAAAAGTCGGAACAGTAGCAGCGATGCCGCTCCAAATTCAAGTAATTCGAAAGTAGGAGCGGCGCGACGCGTTACAACGCGCAGCAACGGTGGAAACTTTGCGGCGATATAAACACTCATTTGCAATTTACAGCTAAAATTATTTTACGGCGTCGACATGAACGCGCACAATCAGCGTCTGATAATAAAAGCGCTTATTTTTCTTTCTAGGTACCGCATTTCCATCATGAACTGGTTTACGAAGCCATTGTAATGGCTTTGGAGGCAAACAGTCAAGATACTGAAAAGGCCATCTGTAACTTGCTTAAAGCTTTTGATTCTCGAGTACTCATTACTAGAGACCAACTCGAACGTGGTTTCTTCCGCGTTTTTGATGATCTGTCTGATATTTCTATGGATGTTCCTTTGGCCTATGTAATTTTGGATCGGTAAGTTTAGAAACTAGACAGCGTCTCTCAAAATAAGTGCATATATTTTAAGGGTTAGTAGATCAAAAGAAACATCTTTTCTATTTACCATTTTTAAAATAAATTGAAAATAGCCGAGATATTTAACTTTGAAAATTTGAAAAATAATGCAAACATTGACAACCGCTGGCTACACAACCGTTGGGGTTTCAAAACACACAATTATAAATAATATTTACTAGTTGAAGCCTGGCGCATTCGCCACGACATCAGAAAAAAAATACTTTTTTTTTTAAATAAATAAAAAATTCGGCGACGACAGTTTTTAGAAGAGCCAATTAGCCATCTTTTAGTAAAAAAAGCAACTTTCTAGAGCAGGTCGTTACTTCAGTAGAGACGACACAAATAAGCACTAGCATTTTCTATAATATGTAGATCATGTCGAATTTTCGCTTGAGTTATCCTATTACTAATAAATATGCAGAATGTGAGTAATGTAGGAGGTGGCAACATTGCATTCCCTACATGCAACATAAACCAATTTCCAGAGAATGGACGGTGGCACAACTAAGTTTTTCAAAGTTTTCCGAAAAATTTCAAGAAAAATAGGAAGTTTCCATTTTTTTTCTGGGGTTCTATCAGTTAAAATACTTGCACTTATTTCTGATACACTCTATACTAAGGGCTGGCAAAGGTTAGTTTTGGGTCGAGATTTCCGTATGTTAGAAGAGTACAATAAGAAGAACTTGGCGTTTATAATGTACTGAACAATGAGGGAACAGTAAAAACGTTGCCAAACGTGTGAAATAAACAGGGAAACTGTGCACATTGCTAAGAGGCATGGAAGGGGTTGTAGCAGATTCGGCCGCGGTCTACCCAATCAGTACTTAAAATTCAAGGAAAGGGTGTAAATCATGCGTTCAGCTTCACGATTTAATTACGTCTCGTGATACTTTATTTGTTTATTTATTAACGAGTCTTAATTTTTCCTATAGCTTGTACATTTTTAAGTGCAAGTTAGAAACACTTGCAGTTTTGGTAAAAATAAATGGAATTTAGTTGGTGTTCGACAGTGGTCTCGCTATTAGAACTCTAAATTCAAAAATCGATATCTCGAAACCCATTAGAATCAATTGATTGTAGTTTTTTTTCAAAAACTTTTTTAATATTTCTGCTATATTTTCTTCGGAGACAGTATGTGAAAAACTTTATAAATAAAAAAGTTCCACAATTGCTGAAAATTGCTATGCACTAAAAGTAAATGGATGAGTTTTTCAAACATTTTTGAATTGAAAAAAACAAGCCTATCGAATTTTTGCTATTTAAACATCTTCTAAAAGATCCGAACTTCGAAATAAAAAAAAGGTTTCCATATCTAAAGTGGTTCTTGAGTTATCGCCTGTTATGTGTTAAAAAGTTCTGTTTTTAAAATATCGCGATAACTGACGTTTTCTAGTTATAAAAAAGGACACCCTAACGATATCCTTATAATTCCATTTCAGATGCTCACAAACATATCTAATGATTTTATCTAGTTATCTTTTTGCAAAAAAATGTCTTTTAAAAATAAGCGGTTTGCGATCGCGATTTTACTTTACTTGATAGGGAAAGGTGTACCGGAGAAATGTGACAACGCCGCAACAGCACACCGTCGTATTTCTCTCATTCCGACTTAATAAGATCCCTATGCGATTTTCTTCCACACATGTAAATACCGACCCAAAAGTAAGAGTTGCCAGCACAGTATATGATGTCTCAAATAATCCGTCTTACAGTAATGTATTATCATTTATTTCTGGTTTCAGTTTCATTGACTTGTGTCGCAATGAAGGATTTTTGACTGATAACATTATTAAGAGATTCCCGTCTCGAGGACGCAAACGTTTCGTTTCCGAGGGTGATCATTTTGTTTCAAGGGATAAACTAAACAAGGCCCACGAATACTAGTTTCTCGAAAGTTTCCAAGCCCATTTCATTTGATAATAAATTGAGCAAATTATTCTTGGATATGTGAACAAGTAATATCTACAACTATTAATAATTATTGTATGCTATTTTTTAAAGAAGCTTATTATATTCCTTAATAAATTATGCTTTTCTTAACAATCTTTTGGTAGATATTTTTCTTTAGAAATAGTACTAATAAAGTAAATGAATAATATTTCCATAGTTAAAATTAGAAAAGAGATTATTAAATTTTGTCATTGCATCATTTTATAATGTAATTTGTTCGCTAACCAAAAGTAATTTGGTCGGTTATTGCATATATTAGAACTTAACATATATTTGAAGATGTTAATTAAATATTTCATAGAGTATAAGTTTTATTCATTTTGTATTTAATAAGCACTTTGCAAAATCTAGATTTATGTGTTAATACTTTTTGTACATTTTCTCTATATTATCAAAATAAAGCGTTATTAGAATTTTTTTTTAAATTGGTCCCAGTTAAATTCCCAGTGAACGAAGTTTTGTCACATTTAGGGAATAGTTACGTATCTACGTTTTATTCATTTTTATCAGGCAAAAGAAGGGCCTAGTAACGTAACAACCACATCACCTAGAACACATTTCCTTTAAAGGAATAAAGTGCTCACTGGGTTGTTCCCGATGTATCGTCAAACAGTTTGGTATCGCTAAATATTTTTCTTAATTATACATTATACAAAACTAAGGAATAATGAGAGCTATATATATAGATCATACCAAGTAAACTTTTAATCACGTGATTAAGCTCGACCGGCACATCGTTGCCCACTTTTACACATTTTCTTTTAGGCAACAACGAATTTAAAAATCGCGCTCTCGATTACGTCACTAAAAGTTTAATTGGTATCGCTTTTATATTGTCTTTCTCCACATGTGTACAGTTTGATCTGGACGAGAAAATATATTTTTGACATTACATTTAAGAATCGAAATAAGAAAATACTTTGGAAGCCAAATGACAGATAGCTGTCATTCATAAACTTCATATTTTTTTGGCTTGATAAACTAAATTAATTAAAAATTCTATCAATTTATTTATCTATTTATTATTATTGTTTTATTTATTCTAATTACCATAGAATTATAGTATAATATATACTTGTAGTATTTGATAAATTACATAAACAAGCTGGTTATAAATATATAGAGATATAATAATATTTAGGGACAGAAATCTATTTTGATAATACCGGGTGCATCTCAAAAGTTGCTGACCCCTATAACTTTTTTATTTTTTTATATAAAAAGACGAGATTTGGTAAGTTAGTATATGACATAAATTAGGATTGATTGACATATTCAATTGTTTTCGGTCACTTCCGGTTTCACCGGAAATGACTACTACTTTTGATTTTTAAATGGTGCTCTCGGTATTTTTTTTACTTTATTCAATAGAAAATGACACTCTGCATAGAATGTGTCACATATCATATGTCAACTTTTGACATTTTCGCAAATGGTTTATTTGAAATTGTAACATGCGGTTCATAACGACAATTTGACTCAAAATACCAAGTGTGTGGAATCAAATTATTCGTAAAAAATGCTTTTTCCAAATATGCTAATGAGCCACCCTCGTTCCATTTGAAAACTTAAGATATGATTAAAACTAGGATTTGGACATCTTTTAACCGGCCAGGACAAGACACTAAAAACATTAGACGATCAAATCTATTTTTCCAAGGCTTCTTCATTAAAAATTAGTGTTTATAACACAGCCATGGCACTCTAGATTGAAATTTAAAATACAATTTGATTTTGAGCGAATATGTCAAAAGTTGACGTATTATATGTCATTCGATTCAGAGTGTCATTTTCTATCGAATAAAGCAAAAAAATACCGAGGGTGCCCATTTAAAAATCAAAAATTGTAGTCATTTCCGGTGAAACAGGAAGCGACCGAAAATAATTGAATACGTCAATCAATCCGAATTTATGTCATATACTAACATACCAAATCTCGTTCTTTTATATGAAAAAATAAAAAAGTTATATTGGTGAGTCACTTTTGAGACGCACCCGGTATATGACTAGAAATGTATTTCCGCATAGAGGCGTCGTAATTAACGTAATTAATGGACACCCCCTAAGAAATATCTTTATGTTAAGACATTCTTCTTACATTTTAAATTCTGTTTCCTCATAATATAACCATTCAATGGCTTCAATACAAAATAGTGGAATACTTGAGCTGCAGTTAAAAAGCTACAGCCAATGAATAAACTTATAGCTCCGCCAATAGATACTGTAACAGAAAAACTATAATTTAGTTTATAAATTAAATATTCATTTTTTATGCCGTTTTAATGTTTCGGAGATACAGGGTGTAGAATTTTCATTTTATTTAGATTTTTCCCAAATAATTTGTGAACTAATGTTGATATTTGGACGAAAATTGGCATGCGGGTGTTTTTTTGACAAGATAAATTGTATTTCGATGTCAATACGACTCCCACTTGTAGGGGGGCACCTATATATTTTTAACTGGCTTGAAGAGTAATAACTTTTTGCCCGTACCTGTATAAACTGAGAAAAAAATATAGATTTCCTCCATTTTTTATGTAAAGAATGCCCCTTAGTAAAGTTTTCGTTATATTTTAGTTTAATTCAACGATGATATGTATTGATTATTTTAATTCGATTGGCGATTTTTACCAATAGACTAGATAATAAGTATATAGGTGGTGCCCCCTAAAAGTAGGAGTTATTAGTATTGACATCGAAATCAAATTTAACATGAAAAAAAAACTCCCAGATACCAGTTTTCATCCAAATATCGATGTAAGTTTTAAGTAATAAGAGAAAAGTTTTTACTTTTCCCGAAATACAATTCGGTAGCACCCTGTATCTTCCTTCATTGGATAGACTATACTTCGTTAGAAGATTATGTTCTTTTAATTATCGCAAATTCATATTATTCATTGGATTAATAATACTTCAACTAAATCAGTTACATTAATAAAATGTCAATACAGAAATCTATACAAACCAATAATATCTAGCGGTTCTTGGCGAGCATGTCTTACATATTGTATCATAGGAGCATTAATCAGAAAGTTTATTTGCACTTGTGACTTCGGAGTTCTAAAACTGAAATAATAAATATATTCAATAAATTAAAATTAACAGTTAATTGTATGTGAAAATGGTTTTAATATGTTGTCAATCAAACACAGCTTTAGTTATTATTTTCGCCATTTTAATAGTCAGTATTTTAAATTTAGAATGAACAAAGTCTGTCCAACGGAGCAGGAAAGATTTGGACAGATGACATCCAAACAGTGACAGAAAATACAGTTTACTTGTGAATTAAAATGACAGACACAACTGTCACTGTCATGGATAGTCGTGTTGGATAAACTATAGTACACCCTAAAAAGATCATATTATGTATTATAAGCCATATATTGTTCATATACATGAAAAGTAGGTAACTGAGATCATGCATTACAAGATCCTTAATTGGGTGCGTTTATTTGGTATATAATTAATTTATATATTATATAATATATTTTTTAGTTTAGAATATGTATTAATTTGATATATGTCATATATATGTTTATTATACAGGATATCCCAATATTCCGTGGACATAGACATAGAACTACTACGTATTTTTGGAATCAAAATAAGTTCATTGGACACAATTTACCTCTATACAAAAGTGCTTCGTTTGTCCGCTAGAGGGCATCAAACTTTAAAAAAATAAACACCTTTTATAAGATATTTTCAGAATCGTTATTCCGATTTAAATGATATTTCGGGTGATTATGTTTTGCTAAGTGTGCTTTAACATTTGACTATCGCTAAAATCAAGAAAAATACGGGTGGGGTGAAAACTACCCCTACCCCTACATAAATTTTAGTTTTTTGCAACTCCACCAAAATGGTCCCTCTAGTATTTACTACATTTTTTGCCTCTTGTAAAAAACGCCATATACAGGGTGGTCCGAACTGTATTCCGGAAACTTTTTCAGCATATTCTGCAGATAAAAATAAGTAAAAAAGTTCGTATAAATGTATGTCCTAAAATGCTTGGTTTCGGAGATACAGGGTGTAGGAGTTTCATTTTTTATTTATATGATTTTTTCCAAATAATTTCTGAAGTAACGTCAATATTTAGATGAAAATTGGCGTCTGGGAGTTTTTTGACATGAAAAATTTGATTTCGATGCCAATATGACTCCTACTAGTAGAGAGCGCCACCTACATATTTTTTAACTGGTTCGAAGAGTAATAACTTTTCGTCCGTACCTGTATAAAACTACTGAGTTAAAAAATATACATTTACGACGTTTTTTACGTAAAAGAGCTCTCTTGGTAAAAATCGTTACGAGTAATATTTTTCAAGATATTTGGAATCGAAATTATCAAAACCTGTCATTATTGACATAAATTAAACATGTTGACTAAATAGTTATTAGACTGAAATCATAAAGTTGAAACGTTTTTGTGCCAAAAGTTCAATAGAAACTGTTTTATCATCATTTTTTGCAAAAAAAATTATCATTAATTAAAAAAAATTAAAAATTTCCCAAATTTATTATTTCAGTGAAATAATTATCTATTCAACGTGTGTTTATTTTTCGTCAATAATGACATGTATTTACTATTTCCATTCTAAATATCCTGAGAACGGTTGCTCGTAGCGATTTTTACAAAGAGATATTTTTTCAAAGTTTTTTTTAAAAGTCACAGAGATGTAATTTTTTTTCCTTGGTAGTTTTATACAGGTACGGACAAAAAGTTATTACACTTCAAAACAGTAAAAACACATGTAGGTGGCGCCCTCTATTAGTAGGAGTCATATTGACATCAAAATCAAATTTCTCATGTCAAAAAACTCGCAGACACCAATTTTTATCCAAATATTGACTTTTCTTTAGAAATTATTTGGAAAAAATCGAAATAAAAATGGAACTTCTACACCCTGTATCTCAGAAACTAAACATCTTAGGACATACATTTATACGAACTTTTTTACTTATTTTTATCTGCAGAATATGCTGCCGAAGTTTCCGGAATACAGTTCGGACCACCCTGTATATCGCATAGTTTTTGAGAATTTTTTTTTTGGAGAATTTATATTTTTCCTAAGCAGACCTACAAAATATACAGGGAGTTCCAATGTTCCGTGGACATAGAAGAACTACGTATGTTCGAGTCAAAATAAGTTAATTGCACATAATTTACCTCTATACAAAAGTTCTTCGTTTGTCCGTAAGACGGCATCAATAAAAAATAAGCTCAAATGTTAATTAATTTATGCGCCTCTGTAGCTTCATGCGAGAAAAACATTTTTTGGAAATCAATTTCGGTAAAAAAATTGTTTTAAAAAGTATGCACGGTGGCGTATTTTTACAATAGACTTAAAATGTAGTAAATACTAGAAGGACCATTGTACGAAATAATGGTGGGTTCATACAGCCAAATAAAATAAAATAA